GGGGGGGGGTTGTGGAGGGATTTAATGAATAGGATGTGTTTACTTGCAAGGATTGATGGTAACCAAGTGAAGGATCACACCTTTTGTACTGTCTACATGTTTAATAGCACAAGTCAGCTGGTTTCCAAAGTAGTTAGTTGAATCGCCACTAATTATGATAGAGCCAAGAATACATATGATGATTAAAACTATTTTCTGTTTTTTTTAGACTTTTGTATTACTAGCGAATATTTTTTGGAAATTATTCAAACATATGGACAGCTACCTGTTGGCTTTCTATATAAACGGCCCCTAATAAAACTAGAATGCGCCTTAAAGTTAAGCTTCCCAATGAAGTGAAGCCCCAGGCAAGACCCTGCTTCTCGATCAATCCCGCACATATGCTTTACAACCAACATCTAGTGGCTGCAAGACGATAAATAGACTATTTTACCAATAGAAGTGGATTGTGAGGGCAAAAATTAGTGAAGGATGCAATGGCAAGACTGCCTGGTAGATAACACTGTATGTAGATGAACAACCCAAGGGATACTGTATAGCCATGGGGCGGGGTTTCCTTCCAAACCTTGACACCTTGACTACCAGGCAAATCGCAAGGTACAAAGCATATTGCAGCAGCTCGGGACGCAGGACGCCTTGTGTGTGGAGCAAAACCGCCCCCAACTGCAGCTAAGTGCTAGTAGTAGATACTAACCACCCGGGTTGGCTCAGAGGAGGGGGCCGTATGCCGGTGGGTCCATGACAAGGTGCATTTCAAACGGTATGGCCAGCCATTGCAGTCAACCTAATTGATCCCAAGTATCTGTGCAGAAAGCCGTGCTGACAGGGGAATGGCTATTTTGTGGCCCCCACCTTTATCTCCCTGCTATGTCAACTCTCAAATTCCGAGATTCAAAAGCCTGCCATCGTCCCTCGGTCTCACTCGACGACTACATTTGCAGCACTGCTGAGTATTGCGACTCACACATCACAATGGCTATTAGTCCAAACGGGGCCCGGCTTATGGTCTGGGAGATTGTCTTCGCGGTGGTGACCACCCTCATGATGGGACTGAGGCTGTGGGCCATCCGGATCAGACGGTCGTCCATTCAAATGCATGACTATTTTGTCTTTATTGCCTACGTGTGTTTCTCTTCAGCCTTTCTCCCAGATATTATCTGACGTTCTCACAGTTGAGCACCTGTTGCATGGAAGGAGTGTGCTTTTGGGCCATCGCCAACGGTCTGGGCGCACACACGGACACACTCACGAGCTACGAAATTGGGGTTCAATACCAGGTAAGCCAGTCTCAATTTAACACATTACAGCATCATAGCCTTCTAAGCGATATGTCGCAGCTTTTCATCAGCACCTACGTAACGTGGACCACGGGAACCGTATGCTGCAAATTCTCTATGCTCGCCCTCTACACCTCTCTCTTCCCTTCGAAACGATTCCGGTATGCAGTCTGGGTCATGTACGGCGCTGTATTCGTCTACTACGTCTTCTTCCTATCGTTCTTCATGACCCAATGTCATCCAATCTCCTATGGCTGGAATCCTGTGCCGGGCGGGTACTGCAAGTCCGTAATGTTGGAGGAGATCCTCTCAATCGCCTTGAACATGGGTCTTGATACTGTAATTGCACTCCTCCCGATGCCACTGCTCTGGAAGGTACAAATGCCTTTCAGGAACAAACTGACTATTAGCGTCATGTTCGCCATGGGTCTCTTGTACGGATATCCCCTTTCTCTGCTACTTCATCTGGTATACAACATACTAACACGCCGCAGTGTTGTCGGAGTCATGGCCTGGCGTATGGCCATCACGCTCATGCCTTCGACCCAGACTGACTTTGTCCACGGTCTGTACCTCGTCGGACTAGTTAGTTTTATGGAACTCTGGTTCAGCATGATCATCGTCTCGCTGCCGACAGTGGCGCCTTTATTCCGGCGCTACGTCGAGCCGTTCTACAAGACGCTCACTGGGCGGTCAAACTCCAATACCAATCCACGACGGCTAAAGGAAGCTCAACACACGATAGGCAGTGAGCCCGGACAGGCGAAGCGTTCGAAGAGCTGGCAGCTCGAAGACGGGTATTTGGAATTGGATGACACGGAGTCGGGGTCGAAGGGGCATGCGGAGGCGTGGAGTGGAATGTCTCGGGCCTCGTTGATTGATGCGAGTGAAAATACCCCCTCGCATGCTATTACAAAATGAGATACTACTTGTCTCGTATTGATGAGCTTGCGGGATTTGTAAATAGAAAGATTGATTCGGCCAATAGTCTGCGCGAGGAAATGAAAATGCATCGAGTATGGTTCTTTAATCTTGTTTTGAAAATGTTACTATCTCAGTGCGCTAATAAGCGGAATCAATAATGGCATAACACCCATCCAAGATGGATGTACCTCGTAAAGGAAGGTCCAGTAATTACCAGGCACGAAGATGGCGAACTTGCTTGACATGATAATCAGAACGGATCGACTTCTTGCTGGCTGCAGCAGTAGCTCAACATCGTCCTCAGCCCTTACCCGCCGATGGCCTTAGCGAGTATGCCGGACCGGTTAGGGCACTATCCCCACCCCTCAGGTGAGTTACAGACCTGAAGGTCACGCACGGTTTTCACCGATCGGCACAGCCTTTTCGGCCCCATGTGTAGGAGTCACTACTAGTGCCTACGTAGTCCCAATGCCAGCCGCACTCCATCGCAAGGCCGTTTCCAGTTCTGTCGTTGGACCCCACCGGGCCAGAATAAGCCTGCCTGGTGATGTTTGCGGAATGCCCAGTATTTAACCAACTCGCATTCCCGCACTGTTTACCTCTTATAGCATCAATCTACCAACACGAATCCACTTCCCCCCTCACTTTCTATTCCAAGGAGCACTTTGATCATCAGGAGCAATATGACCCACCTGAGCGCCGACTACATTGTCATCGGCGGCGGCACTGCCGGTCTGGTGGTGGCCAACCGCCTGTCGGAAGACCCCGACGTCCAAGTGCTTGTGCTGGAGGCGGGACCGGACCGCAGCTCGGACGAGCGTGTTCAGGACCCGGCGGCGTGGCCCACCCTGAGCGGATCCGAGATGGACTGGCAATTCAAGACCGTACCGCAGGTGTGTGCGATCTAACGTCTATCTATTTCATTTCTGTCAGTTATGGCAGCTAACTGCTGCGAGCCAGCCCGCCTTGAATAACCGCGACCAAGACCACGCTGCGGGTCGGCTGCTGGGCGGTACCTCCGCCATCAACGGGCTGGCGTTTGTGCCCCCCGCCCCGGCGGGCATCGATGCCTGGGAGGCGCTGGGGAACCCCGGCTGGTCCTGGCAGACTTTGGCCCCGTACTTTCACCGTAGCTTTCACATCTGCCCCCAGTCTACTCCTGGCAATGGTCCTGGTGCTGCGGCATCAGCCGCAGCTGGGCCCATTGAAGTCACCTATCCCGCACTGGCTGAACCGAGGAATCACACCATCATCGACGCCTGGAACAAGAGCTTTGCAGATAAGGGCTACGCCTTCAGTGATACTCTGATCCCAACTCCCACCATCGGCACCCGCCCCTACACAGCTACCATCACCACCACAGGCGTTCGGAGCGACAGCACTCAGTATGCAGCATCGCGCCCCAACCTGCGCATCCTCGCCGACACCACGGTCGAACGCATCCTCTTCGACACGACAACCACCACCATCACCGCCACGGGGGTCCTCCTCCAGAATAATCCCTCTCCCATCACCGCCACCAAAGAGGTGATCCTCGCCGCGGGTGCCTTCAACACGCCTAAACTCCTCGAACTCTCCGGCATCGGCTCTGCATCCCGGCTTTCCACGCATGACATTCCCTGCATCATTGACAACCCTTCCGTTGGCGAAAATCTTCAGAACCACCTCATGGCCCTCCTTCCCGTTCCCATCCAAGCCTCTTCGGATTCTGCCTCCCCAACCCCGGGCATTCAAGCCATCTCTTTCGTCCGCTCGGGTGCTGAGGCCGACCTTCTCGCCCGTCACCCTCCCCCCCAAACCCCCCTCACCACCCTCCTCGCCAACCCCTCCGAACCCACAGCCTGCTTCTTCCTCAGCACGCTGCCCAACTCTATGGCCATTCTCGGCTTGATCCCCTCCTACCCCCTCTCCCGTGGTTCCGTCCATCTCTCTTCCTCCCAGCCTACTGACAAGCCCATTATCGACCCAGACTATCTGTCGCACCCCCTGGATCTCCCACTCATGGCAGAGCACTTCAAGACCCTTCACTCCCTCCCAACCAGCCTTCCATTGAAGGAGATCCTTGGCTCTGCGCCGGGCCCCAGCCCTGAGACGCAGGATCAGGGTGTGGTGGAGGAGACGTTGAGGGCATCGGTCGTGGCGGCGCATCATTTCTGCGGGACGGCCATCATGGCCCCACGGGAGAAGGGGGGTGTGGTTGATAGCAATCTGCGGGTTTATGGGACCGGTAACTTGAGAATCGTCGATGCCAGTGTATTCCCTATCGTGACGGCAGCGAATCCCATGTCGACGGTGTATGCTGTTGCGGAGCGAGCGGCGGAGCTTATCCGGGGAAGGGCAGGACATTCCGTGTGAGGTGAATGTCTGTATGACGGATCATCCAGCTCCGCTTAGGAAGGACAGGGATGGGCGCTTTTTCCTCCCATCGCAGAAACCTGATGCTTGCTCTTAGCAAATTAGAATGTGACAGTAATTCGAAGACAAAGAAGAGGGTACTATTTTAATCATTGTGTATATGTGATCTACCTAAACCCCAAAGTATGTACTGGTATTTAGGCAACCAAGATAGCAAGGGACTATCCCGTGGTACCTACCTACGGTGTATATCTCAACAAATTATATCAGTAGTAGGTAACATTCGACTCCAAGATGCGGCGCTATGGCGTCCCCTGCACGTCAAACACGTAGCTCTACTATCTACGTAGCTGCCGTGGAGTAGTGCAATACTTGATTCTCTCGCAGGAAGTGCTTTGAACTTCTTGTATCGGCGAAAGACAGTCAGTCAGTCAGCACGGGGGAAGGATGACACGAAGGCACAAATTGGCGCAGGTATACCGTTAACTCCTCTGGCGAATAACTGTGCCAGGGGATCGGCGGTGGGGCAGCCCCAGTGGGGATGGCTTGGGGGGCTTGGCCCCTTCCCAGCAAATCATTGGTAGCCGCATATCTAGGGTCCACTGGGCAGCCCGGCTTGGGTAAAGATGTTTCGGGTTTCCCCCTGTTTTGTATGTGTATGGGAATATTAGAATCTTGGAGTTATATTGTGGGAGAGGACCTTGCTTGCTATTACCTATCCTAGTTACTCTTTACCAACGAGAACTAACCAACGGTACCTTTGCGTATGTTTTGTAACACTTTTATGAATAAATGAGTGCTGACAACTGATGGTTGAATACGATCAGACAGATGTTCTCAACTGCTAAAGATGTAGCCGTATTCCCGCGATTTAGGAAGATGGTTACATTCCCCCCGCAAGGCTGTTTATATCACAGCCAGTAATAATGTAAGTAACAGCATTTTATGCCTTTGGAGGTCCCAATATTTGCAAAGCAGGCAGGGCAGATGTCGGACCCCGCTTTTAGTGCGCTTTAGGAGTGATTCCTCCAATTACTGCAAACGAGCGAATCGCTCGGACATTTGATCGAAGTCTAGAATTCTGAATCTGACAGCTTAGAACGCCCACCATTTATAAGCCTCACTCACATAAAACGACTGTAGGTAACAAGGGTGAGACGCGATGCTCAACAGTCAGTGGTCTGACCCAGCAATTCTTGTTAATGCTTGACCATACAAAACCGGTGGCGTAGTATAATACCGCTATTTTAGCTTGGATACTTGAACAAAGAAAGTTGAGGCTTGGAGGTGGGAGCCCTCGATCACAATCAGGCGCATTGGTGGCTCCAGCTCCACTCGAGGAGCCTTGTATGCAAAGAATAAGCGCTAGACACCTGTCCGCCTATGCACTCTGTTGGGGTGATCCCGCACGCAGCTGTCAGCTCATAAGCTATATAAGGGCTATCCACCAACTGGGCTCCAACAACCCAGACATTATTTTGTTTGACTCTTTCAGCATATTTTCAACCACTACCATCATCATGGGATCAGTATCCGAAGAATACCCGCCGCTTGCGGCTCTTCCCAATCTCAGTCTACACCCATCCATTAACGCAGAACAGCTCTCTGCATCCAAGATCGCCAACGAATGGCTCGCTTCTTTCTCAAAGAGCCTTTCTACGGGTCGTGCAGACGCTATCCAAGCCCACTTCCTGGAGAAGGAATCTTGGTGGCGCGATTTTATCTCCTTCTCATGGGACATTGCATGCCATAACGGGTCCCAGGCCATCTCCGACTACCTCGCCAGCTCCACAAGTGACTTTTCAGACCCGACACTGGACCAGCCAGGCGCATTGCAACCGCACTTGGCTGACCTGGGGGGTATGCGCTTCATCCAGGCCGGGTTTGGGTTCAAGAACAAGTCCGGCAAGGGGAGGGGTGTTCTTCGCCTGGCGAATGTGGGGCCCGAAGAGTGGAAGGCGTGGACAGTATTCACCGTGCTTGAGCGCCTGAATGGACAAGACGAGCTGGAAGCACAGAGGGTGAAGGCAGCCGGAATCCAGTCAAGTGGATCTGGGCCCCAACCGACCAACGAGGACAGCGATCTGCAAGTCTTGGTCGTAGGAGCAGGTCAATCGGGTCTTGCTCTAGCCGCACACCTACAGAACCTGGGCCTTAAATATCTAGTCGTCGACAAAACTGCCCGTCCTGGAGACTCATGGCGTGCCAGGTACGCGTCAATCAAATCACACACCCCGAGCTACACGGACCACTATCCGTTCTTGAAATACCCCACCAATTGGCCGCGCTACCTCGACCAAGGGCACATTGTCAAATGGATGGAGCACTACGGAGATCTTCTGGCTCTTAATATCAGACATGGCACGCTAGCCACGAATATTAACTACAACGAGTCGACCAAGCGGTACTCGGTCGACCTCCAATCCACCGAGGGCGGCGTACAGAACATCACCACCAAGCACCTCGTCCTTGCCACGGGCCTACTCAGCGATGTCCCCATCAAGCCCGCCTTCCCCGGTGAGGACACATTCAAGGGTCAGATCTTCCACACATCGGCGCATCAGTCCGCGAGCTTGATGCCCGACCTGCAGAACAAGCAAATCACAATCATCGGCTCCGGAACAAGCGCACACGACGTCGCCCAGGACTTCGCCAGTCACGGAGCGAAATCAGTCACGATCGTGCAGCGCAGTCCTATTTTCGTGACGTCTCTCAAGTCCCTAGAGGAGCTGCAGGTGAAGCTGTGGGATACGCCGGGCTTGAACACCGAGGATGCGGATCTTCTTGGTAACTCATTCTCGACGGCCGTTGTTCGGACTCTTAGCGTTGGGGCGTCGCAGATGATGTCCATGTTAGATAAGGACATGTTAGAGGGGCTGGAAAAGGCCGGAATGGCCGTCAAGAGGGGCGACCAGGGCGACAGTCTCGTTGATCATCAGCTGATCAAAGCGGGTCATTTCTACATTGACCAGGGAGCATGCGGGATGATTATCGATGGCCGTATTCAGGTGCGGAGATGTCAGGAAGGCGTCCGGGAATATTACCCAGACGGAATTACTCTCGCCGATGGTACTCAGGTCGAGTCGGATGTTGTTATTCTTGCCACGGGCTTCGAACGCATAGACAAGGCGATCGAGCGAATCGTGCCTAAGGAGATCCTGGACAGGGTGCCGGGTGTGATATGTAGCTTGGATGAAAGCCAGGAACGGTTTGGTGTAAGTTCACATACTGTCCCTCATTTTGCAGTCACAGATGGCTAACAGATCGCTTGTAGGTATGGAGACCGACTGGCATGCCAGGATTCTGGTACATGACGGGCAGCTTTCTCTGGTCGAGACAGTTCTCTCCTGTCCTGGCTTTGCAGATTGCCGCTGTCGAGTGGGGGCTGAACAAGGAGTATCAATGGTAAAACGAAGGGTTATTTGTGATATAGACTTGATAGTATTTCAGAATTTTACTGCTATGATAGGTATCCACGATAGATGTTTTTAAATTCAAGCCCTCGCGGTTCCTTATACCGACTTAGTTGAAGGAATCTTCCACAGTTTTTGTCACCAAGGTTATAGTCAAACAAGCGGGCTGGCTTCAACTGACCAGTACCCCTTCTAATAAACCAGAAATTCATTTTGCACGCTGCGCAATAGATATTTCAACTCCACTACATAGTACACACTCCAGATTCGACAAGCAGACAATACCATTCCCCTCGCCACCAATCTCTCACCTATCTATCACAAACCAAGGTAGAACCCACTAAAGGTAGATAAACATCCAGCGATGAGCATGATAGCCTCCAAGCTATACCCCCGTCAAAGGAAAAGCCAACTCCTCAGAAAACTCCCTAAAATGCCACCAAAATCCTACCAACTCCACCCGCACGCTCTACACAAGGACCAGATAGAGAAATCCAACCAACAGAGCATGAAATGCCTAGTGCAACCCAAGTACTAGATTCCTTCCCTTCCTTTCTATGTATAATCATTGGTTCCACTAACCAACATACACCCCCCGCGAGGTCCAACACTCTCTACGCCCACACACCAGACCCAATGCCGACGGAGCCGCCACCTTCGACTGACTGTACCGCATGTGGTATGATCATGAACTTCCCGTTACGCAGTCGCGGTGGACCGCTTTGAGGGCTGAGGGAGCCGTGGGCGGTAACAGCTTGGGCCAGGTAGCCACTTACCTGGCTCCGCCTCTACTCTGCCTTGCAGAGCATTGACTTGGTTTATTATGGGCCTAGCAGGTTGGCCTAGTTTGACGAGTAGGGCCGTTAGGCCGGGGGGGTAGGTTGTGGGCTGTGTATTCTTGTTTTTTAAAAGAAGAAAAAAAAAATAAAAATAAAAATAAAAGAATAAATATTCATACACAGTAACAGGAACCCGTTAAATTAGCGCAGCATTTATCTGCATACCCTTACCGTTTCGGGGCACTTATGTTTTGTGCTATAATATCTACCAGTAGACTAGACATGGAGTCAGACAAACTCCCGCCAGGTTTTTCGGCCCCCAAATCAACGGCAAATAAGTAAATCGTCCTATCCTAATCAGGTTATATGTCCGAGATGAAGATTATGCCACGCTGCAACAAGGTTAAGAAGCAGGTTTAATATGCTTTAGCTTGATTAGGATTCTTACGCTCACCCCCTGTCTGCATCATGCGGCTCTAGCCCCGAATAATATCAGTCAGGGACTTACCTCCGAACCACTTACTCTATCTGGCACTACTCCGTACATGACTCTCGTAGTGATTTGCTTATCTCCCGAGTATCTTCAGTCTCCACTCTTCCGCCCCCGCGTCGTCTAATCCTGCAGAAGCACGGATACATTCTCTGCTTGCCACTGTTTCTTTTATTTGCTATCTCATTCATTATAATCATTTTCGTTCATTTTTCTATGATGATTTTTCTCCTCGGCCCTGATTTATGTCCAGTCAAGTGCATAACCGCATAATCCCGATTGTTGGCTCTTACGCTAATAAAAAGTCAACAAATATCCCCACTCCACTTCCATTCAACTAACAACCCAAGCGAGACCGAGCTCGTATTCGACCCTTTAGCCTGGGGGCCGTAGGTGTGTTCGGCAGGCAAGCAGCAAGCGTAGGATCATATTGTACGTATCTGAAGCCGTGCTGGGCTGTTTTCTCCCTGCGTGCCCTGCTTGCTCGCCCCCAAACTTCGTGTCGAGTTAGGGAGGATTTGAAGGGTATCCAGTAGCAGCCATAGCTACTTCGTATTTATTTGGGGGTGGGGGGGGGAGGGGGGGGGAAATGTCTGCTTGGAAATAGTATGGGGCTGGGGCTAAGGTATTATTTCTATTGTTATTCGTTTGAGAGTGCGTCATGCGGTTTGGGGGGTATGTGAAGAAGTGGTCGTTGGCATGTGATTCACGGTCTTTGCTGGTTCTTGGAAGTTCTGTTGCTGTTCTTAGTATTGGGTGTGGGTTGGGGGCGTACTTGGGACTAATTGTTATGAAGGGTTGGTGGGTGAGTGATATTGGGACTGGGGTTGAACGAGGGTACTAGGTATGTGGGAAGTAGTCCTGTCTCTGGGGTGTATACAAGAAATGGAAGATTAAAGATAGTATATGTTTAGTATATGAGGTGGCCGGGGATTAGGGTAGGAGAGTTGCAAGGCCCTAGATAGTATTCGATATGGGCGATGGATGACTGATCTGTCTTGTCCTGTTCATGCTTTCAGTACTATTGTTCATTGAATCACAGGTTCCATGCTTGTACAACAGTTCCTCAAGGAAATAAGAATCTAGACTGATGGCTGTAGCTCAGAAACTGAGTGATCGTGCTTTTCCCTCATACTTAGCTTTTTAATTTATTCTTTTAAGGACTCTATGATGGAAGATATATATAGTCTACTCATATAAACTCAAAGATACGCTGAATCCCTTGCAACGAGAATTGAAAACTCATGCTCTTAGTTATAACAGTCTCAATACATCAGTCTCAAAGTATACGAATCCACCAGGAAAGTCAATCATCAACAAGGCCAAAAAGGCCATCATTACCCGCAGATGCCTGCGGACCCTAGGCATCCCGTGTTGATGTTCAGGTACACCCGGAAATGGTGTGCTCATTATACTTTCAAAGGATTACTTTCCTTACAAAACGCGTACATGCAATTTAGGCAAAGTATCAAGGCTTACTGTTTCCAAAGGCTAGATTTCAAGAGAATGAAACGCAGAATAAAGCCGAATATGGATAAAATACTTGTACATGTTGAATTTTAAATCATATAATCAAGAATCAAGGTCATTTCTAATTCAATGCAGGAGCATTCAGTACATGCTCATCTGTGCTCACTCCGCATTTTGCGCTGCTCATTATATATGATTCAGTCTTGGGGTATCTATAGATAATTTCTCCTCTTGCTAGTTCTACAATAGAATCCAGTAAGCATAGTAAGAAACACTCTTAATTCCCGGATGTCATCAGTAAGGATGGTAGCTCAATTATTGCCAGTAGAGGTATCACATTCAGTAAAGAGTAGTCAAATGGGCTATGGGCGGACAAAAGCGGCGCAGTGTCAGTGTTGGCCTCGATACGGTCCACTATAGGCCAGGGCGGTGTCCCCGCGCACACGCCCTGAGGGCACCTATCGTGTACCGGGGGCTGAGGATGATGTGGTGGAGAAATAGTAAGCAGCATGAGGGGAAGCGTGAAAAGAAAAAAATAGAAAAATTCCGGGATTAAGTTTTGGGGGGATGATCAGGAACAAATTTGGGTGCTGATTGCAAGGTCTCCAAGGTATTTGACACGTGCGGCCGCAAGGGCTGTGGTGATGGGGAATAAAATAGACTAGAAATAACGCTAAGCATTAGTGAAGACAGCCGTAAGCACTAAGCACGACGGAGGTGTCATATCAGCACTAACACGCCCCAGATCCACTAGACCTTCCCAACCCCTCCTTTCTAGCCTGCGGGAATTGTAAATCGTCCTCAGGGTGACCTGTGTGTTCCGGCATCGAATGTTAGATTTCCCGCAAGTTTGTGACTACTTTGTACAGTAGGTAAATGGATGTAAAATAAGAAGTGTAGAATAGCGCTAGGATATGAAGTAGACTAAGGAAGAGTAAGAAAATTAGGCAGTCCGTCTCTCGAATCTCAACTCCAACCGGCCCAAGCACGAAGTGAATTGGTCCTTCCAATCATTAAACACACGGTCGCCTGTTTCTCCTGCAGGGAAGCTCATGCGATAGTGTTGGATCATGTGTGCTCCAATCAGCATCATGTCGTTCATTGCGAGTCCGCGCCCAAGGCAGCTCCGGAAGGCTGATAATCATAAGTCAATAGGTGCACTCGATGAGTGGATGCTGTGGGTAACTTACCAGTGCCGAAAGGAACGAACGCTGATCGGTTAAGCACTAACTCAGGCCGGGTTGTCCAGCGCTCGGGAATGAATTCGTTGGGCTTCACATAGCAGTCTTCGCCTGTCGTGGGATTAGCCTTCTTGGCACAACATTTGGACGCTGTATGACTTCATAGCTCAAGGCGGTTGAAGTAAATTAGGATCAAGGGTACACTTACGACGTGAAATGCAAAATCGGGGTGCGACCACCGTGGTATCCGGGGGAATGTAGACCCCAGCGACAGTAATGCCCTCGTTGGCGGGAGTCTTGCGATTCCCGCCCGTTGGCAGGGAAGGATAGAGGCGCAGTGACTCAAAGATCGCGGCTTCGAGATGCTTGCATCGTCGCACGGCGTTGACATCGCTTAGCTCTTCTGGCTGCAGCTGCTGGAGTTCGCGGTAGATGAGGTCGGCTTGCTCAGGGTGTCGCGCCAGTTCGTAGAAAAGACCATGCAGAATGCCAGCCGTTGGATCGCTGCCTGCGACAAATGCCAACAGGCTGTCTCCGCCTAACCATTGATCTTGGGTGCTGTCCTTCTGAGAGCTTTCCATGAGGAAGGCACCCAAGGATGTGGCTTTAGACATATCGGTGGGTACCTAGATATCCAGGATGCATGATGAGAATACTGTACACTCTGATAATGGGGGGAGGCAGAAGGGTCCAACCTTGACATTTCGCAACTCTCCCTTCGTCATGGCCATCGTGCGAAACCAGTCCTTGAGGATCCACACGCGAGGCAGCAGCCGTAGGACAATCTGCACAAGCCAGGGTGCCGGGCTCAAGGGTCCCAAAATTGACAAGGCCTTTTGCACAGTGCGAATGGCGAACCGCCAGTCAGGGTTGGTGAGCATATTGAATTTCTTGCCCAGGACGAACTGCGCCATGCGGTCGAAGCTGAGCCAGTAGATCATATCGGTAACATTGGAGCTTCGGCCGGCTGCCATGTCGTCCTGGATGCATTGATCCATCTGTTCAATCAAGCCAAGGGTCTGTTCTTCTTTGCCGACGAGTGCTGTAGCTGGTTAGCGAATGAATTCGAGATAAGCTATCGTATCTACTACCTTTCGACGTAAACCCTTGCATCCACACCCGGCGGCGAGGCCGATGGATATCACTTGTGCGTGCATTCACAAGAGACCTATCTGGGTGCAGCAGATCATACCATTCGCCCTTCATACACTTGCTTCGGGGGCCATCCACAGCCATGAAGACATCAGGGTGGAAGACAGTGATCTCGCTGGGACCCGTTCGCACAAAGTCCCCATACTGAGCATGCAGCTTAGCCATGAAGAAGTGGTTCTGAGAGCGTCGTGTCTTCCACAAGTGCCAAATCTTGGACACACTGGCCCACCGTGGACCAGGGAAGCCATTGAGGCGATGAAAGAACAGTCGATAGGAAAGGATGCTTGAGAATAGGCCAAGCAGATATCCACTGATGATCTGCCAGCTTGTTGGGACGTTGACAATCAGATAGAGGAAAGAAACGAGATGGATCATAAGGATTTGAGGCGCTTGCACGTGCCACTCACCATGGATGAATAGTCCATGATGAAGAGCAACGCCCATCAGCCCCCCAACGTACGGGGCTTGGATAGAATTCATGATTCCTGTTTGATACAAAGCGTCGGTACGAGGTGGAGTGGGATTATCAAGACGAGTCTCCTGCTCTGGGGGCTTGTTTCTCGTCAAGGTTGAGTTCGAGGTATATAAAGGGCCTCTTCCACGGCATCGAGCTTCCAAATCAACCCTCCTTTTCAGCTATTCTACTGCAGTTCAGTCAGGCAGAATCGAAGACAGACCACGCCGTTCGCCATGTCGGCCCCCAAAAACCTACGATTGGTGGACCTTCCTGGTTTGATCTGGGAGTTTACAGAAAACGACTTCGCGACATTTGCACTACCAAACGCAGGCTTTGGCCTCCTAGCGGCCTCGGTGGCTCCGACGCTGACCAGCTGCTCCGAAAGCCCCGGGGCGCTCAGCCTTCTGCTTCGTGCCGCGCCTCCCGTTATCCTCTTCAACTGGGCCAACCTGCTCATTTTCGACGTCGCGAATCAGCGACTACCAGAATCCGTCACGGAAGATTCGCTGAACAAGCCATGGCGGCCGCTGGCACGCGGGAAAATCAGCCCCATCCAGACCCGCCAGCTGTTACTGGCGGCCATCCCGGCTGTGTTAGGGCTCGGCTTCGTTCTAGACGCCTCCTGGGAAACGGCGCTGATCATGCTGTTGACTTGGATGTATAACGACCTACATGGGGGCGACGAGCTAACCCGCGACGTGATTATCGCCATCGCCTACGATGTGTTCCTGATGGGCTCCCTCCGCATTGCGCTGGGGACAGCGACGGAGACGTGCAGCGAGGTGGCTGTCTCGACGACAGGGTATCAATGGTTAGCCATGATCGCAGGAGTGATTATGACGACGATGCAGATTCAAGATCTTCGCGATCAGGTGGGTGACCGCACCCGAGGACGCAAGACATGGCCCCTGGTGGTAGGTGACTCGGTCTCACGGGTGTGGATTGCTGCCTGCGTATGCCTTTGGAGTGTGGCCAGTGTGTGGTTCTGGGGGGAAGTGCCCCTCCTCATCTCCGCTGGAACCATGGCGCTTGGGGGCTGGATTGGTGCGTGCGTGCTACGGAAGACGGGAGATGTGACGGCTTGGAAGTGGTGGTGTTTCTGGCAGCTCGTGCTGTATTCGCTGCCCGTGTGGCATTATCATTGGAGTGGAGCTTCGTGAGAAGGGCATGCAGATTTCACTCCACGTACCGATACCGAGGCTTGTGACATGGGGGCCGTGCAAGGATAAGAGAAGTCGGAGGAACAATTGGGTCTGCAGACTAGTCCCTGAAGGATCAACGTCAGGGGTCTGTTCGCCGTTACTCAGATGAATTGATTACAGTTATCATCAATTGCACTAGTCAGGGCTGTGTTTGTTAGTAACTGACCCACTTAGACTTCGCCCCCAGTCTCCACATTCTGGTATTGACCATTGATTCTGCAGGCTAGGAGATGAGTTCTGCATAGCAGAAGGCTAATAATCATGGATAAGATGAAAATTAGCAGTCGGCATCTTTTCCTTGGCAGCACATGGTACTTCGTACAGAAGTTAACCCTATTCTGTATCCGCCCCCAACTCTCACACATGTGCTAGTATCAACCGCTGCTAGCACAGCCCAATACGACGGACTCGACAGCCAACAGCAATGACTTGAAATGATGATCCACAGGCAAGAGTCGTGTCCATTAATAGTTGTTAGTCTACTCTTATAACAGTTAATCCACTCTCTTCGCTCCTCCTTCCTAATTCACACTAGCATCAACTCTTGCTTGTACGCAGTGGTACTGTATAACTTACAGTGACAGATAACATAAACAAAGACTGCCAGATTCTTGTTCTTCAGCACCAGGTAGTCTAGAACTTGTTAAAGTAGCCAACCCCACATCATACTATTCGTCCCCATTCTTGTGGCAGGGCTCAGAACTGGTTGAGGATCAAGAAAGTGAACAAACACCCTGCAAGGCACCACTGCTTATGACCGTCATAATAGGCTGAACGACCAAGTGTAACCTCAAGACCCCAATCATGTTCAGTAGGGCCGACCAAGCACTAAGGATGGGGGCGAAGCAGCAAGAAGTGTCTGGTGTGTCAGTTGCAGCCCCCGTGCATTAGTTCAACAAGGCAGACCGGGATCTTTTCACAGCGGGATGTAACCCCCTCAATCAGTCATAATATTTGTAGGGATCCTGATCAGAGAATCCAACACTTTCCTTCATGACTCCTATCTGATTGAGTTGAGCAGAGCTGCGTTTGTATTTCCCTTTCACTTGCTTTCAATTGCGTTATGTCCAGTTCAGCCGCGCCCACGATGGACCAGTATCCCCTGGGTGGCCTATCTACAGGCCCAGGCAAGAGTGCCTTCGTCGTGACGATCATCTCCATGGTACTGGTCACCATCTGCGTTGGCCTTCGTGTCTGGCTGAGCATCATCAATCCGCGACCCTTTGGTTTCATGGGCTACTTCTACTATGCTGGTTATATCGTTGCTATGGCCTATTCAGCCCAATTTCTTTGGGGGATCTGCCCAAATGCCATTGGCATGCACATCATGACGGCTATGACCTTGTATCCCGATCGGGTGGTCAATGCTTTGAAGGTATGCCTCTCTACCTCCCTCCCTTCTACACCCAAAGACTAACATCAACTCAACGAAAGATTGTCCTCGCCAGCGAATTCATCTGGGCCATCGCCACCACCCTAGTCAAATTCTCCATCCTCAGTCTGTATCTGGAGATTTTCCGCGGCAAGCTTTTCCGGGCCTCCTGCTACACAATCGGAGCGCTCAGTCTGGCACTGGCAGCAGCCATGTTCCTGATCGCCGGCCTTCTCTGCCAACCGATCGAGAAGAACTGGGACCCGCTGATGACGACGGGCCACTGCGGCGACAGCGTCAAAATGGACGTCGCCACAGCCACCATCAACATGATTTTGGACCTTTTTATCGTGATCCTGCCTCTCCCGTCGCTCTGGAAACTGCAAATGAGCTGGACCCGCAAGGCCATGCTGAGTGGGATTTTTAGTTTGGGTCTTGTGTATGCCTCCCTACCCACCGTACTCCACTTTAAGAAACTCAAAACTGATCCCCTATGTCTGTCATAGTATCTGCGCCATGAACCTAACCCGCATCGTCTTCGCTGTCACCCTCGACATGACGGACGCGACCCATGCCATCGCACGCATCGGCCTCTTCTCCATCCTCGAAGTCAACGTAGGTATGATCTGCGCCTCACTACCAACCCTCGGCCCGCTCATCTTCGGCGACCATCGCGGTGGATCCTCTGGCGGACGGAAAGGCACTCCGGACCCTCGCTCGTCCGCCGCCATCATGAACACCTTTGTGCGGCGCCGCGCAGCAGGCCTGGGCCGGAGTGATGGCGGCAGCGGTCGGTTCAGTGAGATTGCCACGCTGAATGATAAGACTGTTTTCGATGAGGAAGCTCTCCCGTTACATCAGGTTGAGAAGAGTGGTAAGGTGTGCGAGATGGAGGATCATCATGATGCTATGATGGCTCCGTCGCCTTCGCCGGATCAGACCCTGCCAAGGAGACCGGAGACAGCGCGGTTGTCGTGTCCGGACGGGCAGGGGAAGGATATTAATATTCGGACGGATATTTATGTTCGATGATCTTGAAGTTTCTCTGGTTTCCTTTTTCTTTCTTTTATCTTTTGTCTATACCATATTGTTCTTACTGGGGTTTTCCTTTGATTTTTGGGATGTGGGTGTGGAGGTGTGCTAGGGTCGGATAAATTCTCCGAAGGTGTTCATTACGGCTGAACTGGCCTTTGTCTTCATTAGCATACGGTGAATACATGATCAAAAGAATTACAGAAATAAGATCTTCCATTATTTCGTCTCTTGTCTTCGCATGGTCTAAACCTATCATTTCTGCAGTGACTCTGCTCGTATGAGAAGCCACGCGATCTTGTGCATGCCAAGACCAGGCTGCCTTGACCTTACATCTTGTCTTTAAGGCTGCATGCCCGAAAAATCCTAAGATAAATTGACTTCTTTGCATTAGAGGCAGAGAGTTCTAGTAAGCATTGAATAATCCTAGATGTTGCCGTAGCTTCGATGAGTTGACCAATCCTCACTAACATAATACTCATGCTCTTTTACTTAATATGAAAAACATTGGAGGCATCTAGAAGGTGAATATGACATCTGCCCCCGCTCCTGTCCCTCATACTTCTAATTCTCTTTTACTTTCTGGACAAATTGGTAGTAACATTATTACTAGTAGTGGTCATAGTGGCAGTTCGCAGAAGGTAACCCAGGTCGTATCCATTACCTACTTGCTTCCCTCATATCTAATTACCCCAACCTCCAATGATCAGCCCACCTACACTCAGTGTAACATTCTACATCAAGAGTCGATATAAGATAGCTCTGAGAATATGTCCAGTACTGCAAGCTACAGATCCATGACGATTATACATAAGAGGAACGAAACAACAATTCGTATGACGTTGTGACTCTTGCGGAATACCCGAGAACGAGAACCATCCGTGAGCTCAATTGACCCACCTTCTTCTGCTCGCATAATTGTCTCTCGGTTCCTGGCGTCCCATCCACAGTAAGTTAAGTTGCAGCTAAGGCTGTCAAACCGTAACATTTCCAAACTTTGTCCCTGTTGCATCCGCGGACATTTACCCGAACTCCCAACTTTAATTTGGAGGCTGTCTTGCTCAATTATGCCCAAGGCATGCGACATGCATGCCAGCAACACTAGTAGATACTAGATATAAGACACTACATATTAATGGGGACAGTCAATGATCGTGAGACAAGGGTGTAATAATCAACGTCGTCTCCAGTGGTTACGAAATATTTGTTCCAAACCAATCGAGTATATTTACCACCATCTCTACCCTCTATTTTTCTGGACTTCAATCATCTACTACTCGAACTCAAGCCCAAGTTTAAAGCAACAGACAATTTTTCCAATCACTCAAATCCCTTTACTCGTCCAAACAATCAAAATGAAACTCATCCTCACAGCAACCATCACCACCCTCCTCGCCGCCCTCACCTGCCAAGCCGCACCGAGCTTCAGCTTCCGTATCGGCTATCGCGGTAGTACCGAGTACGCCGTCGCAAAACCAGACGCAGAGAACGCCAACGAAACCATAGCTTTCAGCAGCTTGAACACATACGGCCTCCAGGGCCTGGATCAGTGGGAATCCAGTAACACCAACCAAGGATTCATGATCCGCAATGTTGCCTTGCGGTCCTATATTAGCTGCAGCGGGCAATCAGCTACCTGCGATCTTACAGAAGACGAGGGAACATCCTTTCAATCAATCCAGACGACTAATATTGATGGCGTGAACTACTATCATCTTTTCGCCACTACTATTGAAGATATTGATGGGGGACTGACTTGGGTTCTTGAAGGTGGAGATTATCTCCGTATTGGAGTCTTGGATGTCAAAAATGAACGGCAGGAGATTTCATTGCAGTAGAGCAGTTGGGATCCCAAGGGATGTGTCTTACTTTTCTTTTCTTGTCCCTTTTGTGAGTTTATGGGTCTATCTGGTCGTTGGCCGGGGGTTGACGTAATTAGAAGTAGTCGTATCTGCTGGTTTTGTTCTGATGTTGGTTCAATCGCTATTATTTATTATCCAGTTCTATACCACCAATATAAACCCATTATTTACTATTCTGTATCTCCTAAATCAGAACTCCCTGAAAGGAATGAGGATCAAGCAGACCGGGGAGGCAGCGACATGATGAGGATGAGGAGGGAAAATTGAGAGGATATCGAAGCCAGATGGCCAGAGGGATTGATGCAAGGGTAACAAGCAGCGCAGGGAGAGATCGGCCCGTCATGATGTGATAATACACCCCTTGAGATGGTGAGACAGCATGATGTTGAAGTGGTCAGCAATGACGGTTATCTATGAATGAGAGTCATTTGCGTGCAAAAGAAAAAGCCAATTGGAAAAATAAGGATAAAAAGGGACATAATGAAGAGTGAAACTAAAAATATAGCGCAAACTAGTGAAATCAAATTGATAAAATGGGACAATAATAATAATTAGAAAATGAATCAAAAAAACATGAGCCCGATCCCAGAATTCACGAAGAGAAAGGACACGGGGTCAGGGCCAGGGCCAGTTAGTCCGAAGACTATCAAAGAACGGTCAAGACTAGCATGACTATGAGAGATGGAGTTTTGGGGGCAAAAAAGTGGTGGATTAAATTCTGCAGCAACCAACAAGTACCGAGACTAAGTCTACTAGTACTAGAGCATATCTCTCGCCCGCGACGGAGGGGCTCACTTCCGGGTGGATCCTACAGCCTCTCCATTTGTCGAGACACTCAACAGGTGATTGATAGGTCTCGTCTGTCTCTTACCCCATTTCCTTGTATCCGCCCCCATGCGCATGGCCCCATTGTCTGCAAAAGTGCCTTGTATGACCGCGAGGCCCAAGAAACTAGGGCTTACTCCCATCACCGTTGTGGTTGTACACTCCGTAGTCTGCCATGATAGAAGTATAACCAGTCGGCCACAATTAGTTCTGCAATTAAGATATTCAGTTAGAGCATTAACATAGTCATATCCTGCAAACTCATTTTCTCAGTCCTCACATCCAACTGAACTCCCAAACATGGCCATCTCTCCCGACCAGAAAATAGCCGTGGTCATCTGCACCGCCTCCTACCACACGCCCGCCCCCTACGGGCCCTTCATGGAGGCCCTAACCTCCCACGGCCTCTTCGAGACATACTGTCCCCAGCGCGCAACCTGCGACCTCAGTAAGCTGAACGTGGGCGACGACCTCCAACATCCGGACTTCAACCGCGATCCACCCGCAGGAGGGTATCCCAACGACCTGGACGATGTGAAGATCGTTCACGAGCTACTCGATAAGCTCATCAACCAGGAAAATAAACTCGTCCTCCTACTGGGCCATTCCTCCGGCGGGTTGGTGGCCACCCAAGCGGCCATCCCCGAGCTACAGTTTAAGAACCGCGGGACCCAAAAAGGAGGCGTGATTGGCATCTTCTACGTTGCCGGGTTCCTGGTACCCGTCGGCGAATCCGTACATAGTTTCTTCCAGCCTAAAGATGGCAGTTGGCGCGTTCCCCCTTTTGTTCAGTTCTATGTATGTATGCCCCTGGGCCCCTGTGACATGTCTCTTTCAAGGACACTGACATGTTGCATCCAGAAAAACGGAAGAGACGGTCTAGCAACCACCAAAGAAACAGCTCAGTACATGTTCAAGGGCCTGGATGACCCTCAAGCAGTCGAGAAGTGGACCGCCACGTTGACGGCCTCGCCTGTCAACACTGGAGCCTTGACTAACGATGCTTACGCCGCTGTTCCGTGTGCTTATGTGGTCCTTGATGAGGATACTTGTCTGCCGCCGGCGTATCAGGAGAAGATGATTGCTATGCATGCCCAGCGCGAAAGTGTAAACTTCAAGGTATATCATGCGCCGACGGGGCACTCGCCGCATTTGAGCTGGATGGAGGGCTTGGTGAGGACGGTGGTTGAGTTCACGGAGGAGGTGCGGCAAGTTTGAGGTGTTGAAAGAGAGAGATATATGTATAGTAGTGTTATCATTACTAGGCTTATATATTGATACGATGTTAGGGATAATATTATTATAAGTATATCGAATATGCGTGCTTTCTCTCCTCCTATGCAAATCATCGCCACCGTAAGAGCCTCGGTTCTCGCCTTCCCATCATCGTCAACATTATTCACGATGACAAAATAGTAGTTACCATCATTGGGACCGTCAACAGTAACGGGCCCATCGAATGCCCGAGCAGTTCGGAACAAGCTTTCCCGGAATGCAAGCCGACAGCGACCCAATTATATGTCGCAATAGATGCATTGTTACCGCGATAGCTGATGCAGAAACTGGCAGTGGTTTCGTGGGAGAAGGTGCTCGCTGAATGCATTGTTGTGGCATGGCACTCAATTAAGAGCCACATTCTGTAAGAATCACTGCTACCAAGCGAAGGGCAGATGACCAGTTTTTAGTGGATGCATTTTGTACTCTTATACTGTAGTATATTTCTCTACTACTATAGGGTAATTATAACATAGTCTTGTAGCTACACCTCAGGCTTAAAGAAAGCCTGTGATTATCTAACATTAAGATATTAGGTACTCGTAGGATTGTGGATTCACTATACTCCAAAATCTCCCTCTACATCAAAATGTACAACTTAATTGCTAGAGCATGTGAAAGAGAAACGCCACAACTCTTTGAAACATACTTGCCAACAAGCCACGGATGGCAAATCACACATGACAGGAATAATTTGTTCGCCGTTTGGAGGCCGGGTGCTCGTCATGTATGAAGCGTCAATGCTGCTCGGGGCAGTTGGTGAATATCCCTCGAGTGATCAGTGAGTGTGCAGAGGGAGGCGAAACTTGAAGCCAAACTCTTCAATGATGAGGGCGTTAAAATAGCCAGCCCATTACATATGTGCTTGTGTGGAATAAACACCACTGGCTACTAATATCGGTAAGCATCGTAGCTTTAGAATATTTATTTGCATCGGATGTCACTTCTAGTAGCGCTAGATGGAGGGCTTGGAAACATGATCCGGTACGACTTCATTTTCGGTCTTCATCGACTTGATGGGTTTGAAAGTTGAGTCAGTCTGATGACCTTCACTCTCTAACTTTCGTAGACATGGGTTGGGGTTTTTCTCTGCTACCGATGCTCATTTGGAACATGTTATTTTCAAATTGAAGCAGAGTTGGGTTTAATTCAATATTGACTTCATTAACTAGAAAGCAACTGAACTGCCATATCTCCGTAATCCCCAGCAGTGATAGGCAACACGTCATGCAAACCGGATCAGACCAAAGAAAACATTCAATAAACTCTGCTTCCATCCATCTCACGATTATCCCGTAATAGAAATGCCGTAGCATCTTCCAGCAAGTTCTCGCCGTGACAAGGAAAAATCACGCTATCAGGATCTTCAAGTCAACCCATTCACTTGGGAGTCTCGGGGTGCCGGTCCATGGCAGAGAACTCCGCACTCACCTGGCTGGTACTCATGATTTCCTCGTCGTCAGACTTCGACTCCTCCTTGACGGGACTAGTCTCGAGCTCCGTGTCGGATTCTTCCTTTTTCACGGAGACTTTGCCTTTGGCCGGAGTGGGAGTAGTGGCACCTCCAGATTTGCTGTATTGGAGGAATACATTAGCAACAAGGACAGGCACAACGGGTAGAAATACCTACAAAGCCTCCGTCTTCGCAGCCTTCGTGGCAGAGCGAGGGGCCTTCGGAGTCGCTGCCGTCTTCTGACGCTTCCCCTTGGAAGGAGTTGGAGTATTCTCGGTAGCACCAGTGTTGTCATCATCAGCGGCAGCCTTGTCCTTGCCACGCTTCGCGGGCGTCTTCTTGGGAGTAGCAGTGGTGGAAGCGGGTTCCTTCGAAGGACTGACAGAGGCACCAGCTTCTTGATCGGCCGGATTAGTATGAATGTCGAGGAGCCTACGCTTGGCCTTGTGATAAAGAGTACTAGCGGATTGGGCGTTCTTGTAGCCTCCCTTGACGGCCATCTTGTCAAAGTCGACCTGCAGTTGTTGTCAGCGGTTTCTCTATAGATGTAAAATGAGGGTGTATACTTTGCCAGATTTATCGGAACTCAGTACACCCAGAATGATCATGCGCGCTTCGGCCATACTCAGCCCCATAAGAGATTCGGGTTGGTTGGGCTTGAGCGCAGACATGGTTGGATGCGCCGGAAGTGATGGGGTATAGAAAGTGATGATATGAGTGGTTCGGAGTGAAGTTCGGAAGGATAAGCGAGGAAAGCGTGAGATGAGAAGTAAGAGGTGACAGCGCGTGGATGATAAACAGGTGAAGTTCTTGACGAGCAAAGAGCAGCGTTGCCACAGAATCAAATGGTGCAACAGCAGAGATAGAACTAAGTTGCTGTGAATGAGCTGAAGCCAGCTCGCTTTGCTGGTCACGAAGCAAACAGTAAAAACAGACTTGGACCTTGGCGATGATTATGTACCATCAAGCTCCTACTCTGCCATTGGTATCAAACAAGTTCAGTGAATCTCTCAGTTCTGTTTCTTCAAGCCCTTATTCTGGATTTGCTTGTACACATTATCCCACAACGCAGGGAAGTAGTTCGGGTATTGAGTCGAGCGCTGGGCCTTCACATCCGTGTAGAAGTGTTGAGGGGTTTTTCCTGCCCACCATGGAGAGGGCGCGGGCTTCGAATTGGTAAAGGTTATAGGCCGGAGCAAAGACTTGTTGAGAACCAAGTCACCCAGCCTGACCTCTGTCTGTTGAGGAAGCGAAGTTGGCCGAATGGTGGTCATGTACAAGGTGGCTGTGGGCGGCAGGTTCTTCACATATTCAATCATAGTCTCGCGAGAGCGGCGGGCAAAAGCGGGGATGGCAACGTGCACGTAAACGACAAATGGAGATGTAGTGTAGAGGATGAAGATCATCGGAAGAGTACCGCCAATTGCAACTTTCCAAGAGTAAGCATGAGCATGTCGGCATTCGACTGGGGCCACTTACTTGCGGGGGCGAGGTACCATGGATGCTCGTCCGATGATGCGAATGCTGGAGCAAGAAGAAAACAGGAAACCCCGAATATTAAGAGAGAAACGAGCTTCAATGTTCCCACCACAGCTGTCTTTCCTTTTCCGCTATAATACACCACGATCTTTTCCGGTGGCCCTACAGATTCCAGCTCAGCATTGATTCTCTGGCCTCTAGCAACTCAGCGGGGGCGAGCAATACCTTTGCGAAACGTCAATTTGGCATGCTTGGTAGGAGATGTCTGTGGATTCCGGGGCGCAAGAGGCTCCTTCCGCTTAATAAAAGGAGCATTGGGCTTCGGCGGAGGTACAGGGTTCTGGGTCGTCTTCAACCGAGCAAATAGCTTGCTGTTGAGGTCTCTCCGCACGCTCCGGGGAAGTGCGGAGCGCAGTTGCGCGCTCAGCAGGATGACAGGACGCATTGGGTGGTTTTGAGGGAGCGCTTATAAGTTCGGTCTGAGCTCCTGGCTGTATATTCGCGCCAGCTAGCAGGTAGGAAGAGTTGAAAAGACACGATGCGAAGACTGACTTCCGTGCGAAAGGATGGCCCGGCAACTTTTTTCTGGGAGTTTGGAGAAGCTCCGCAACGTGATCCGGCTTGGCGGTCGGGGGTTCGATTGACGGCCCGACAATAGATTGGAATAGACTTGAACCTTCCCCAATCGCTATCGCTTCCTCAACAACCTCCCCCTGACTTTGCTTGTCGGCATCGTCACGATTCTCCTCCATCGGAGGCTGCTAAAACGCTGTCGATACTGTTTGCGATGAAGGCTCGCTGACCTCGGTCGCTGCGCTCTACCCAGCCATGTATCCGGCTTATCGTGGCCTTCTGGCCCCCTTGCTCTCCATCTATCTTACTGTCCTCTTCCTGCTCGCTCCAGGCAACGCTTACCAGGCCATCTCGGATCGAACACTAGAATCACTTCCCCGTCCGAACGATGATTTCGACATCCATACCGGCGCCATATTATCCCCAATCCTGAGGCCTCGTGTGTCTGGGACCTCCGGATCGACAGCCGTGCTGAACCACTTCGTCGACTTCTTTCGAAACTCGCTCCCCGGCTGGAATATTGACTTTCAGAACTCGACTTCAAAAACACCCGTGTCGAATGGGAAGGATGTACCATTTGTGAACTTGATCGCATCCCGTGACCCGCCGTGGGCGGCTCCCGGCGATGTTGGCCGACTCACCCTGGTCGCCCATTACGACAGTAAATACGAGCCGGAAGGATTCATCGGGGCTATTGACAGTGCAGCGCCTTGCGCGATGATTATGCACGCCATGAGGAGCATCGATGCAGCTTTGACAAAGAAGTGGGAGGCCATGCAGGCACAAGGCGAAACAAATCCATTGGATGAGCAGACGGGCATTCAAGTCCTCTTCCTGGATGGTGAAGAGGCCTTCAAGTATTGGACCGACACTGATTCCCTCTACGGTGCTCGCTCGCTCGCCGAGCAATGGGATTCAGATGTTCACCCAGCCATGTCAATCTACAAGACTCCCCTGGACTCAATCTCCCTCTTCGTTCTCCTGGACCTATTGGGCTCGAAAGATCCGACAATCCAGTCCTTCTTTCCCACAACACATTGGGCATACAAGAAATTGGCTGCACTTGAGCGCCGTCTGCGACGGCTCAACCAATTTAAGTCCGCAGGCAATGATCCCGACCGGCAGCGGCTGTGGTTCACGCAGGCCTCGAAAAGCGAGCATGAAATTCCATACTATTCCGGTATCCAGGATGACCACATTCCCTTCATGAAGCGCGGAGTAGAGATCCTCCATGTAATCGATGCGGGTCCCCATGGATTCCCGCCAGTCTGGCATCGCATTGAGGACGATGGCGAACATTTGGACCTGGCGACGGTAGAGGACTGGAGTTTGTTAGTGACTGCATTTGCGGCAGAGTGGATGGAGCTGGAGGGTTTCATGCCCGGATCTGAGCAGAAACCTCGGGAAAATGACCATGGAAAGAACAAGCGCACTGGCTACGAAGCCAAGACTGAACTGTAAGCATTGTCTGAATATATTCACATTTCACTGGCCACTGGGGCCCTGAATTCTCTATGTACATCTTGGCGCGCGGAGTATTTGCTATGAGAGCTGTGCTAATGCGTGATTGCCTGCATAGCTCATGATTGGGAACGCTCTCGGCCACTCGCGCGCATGGCCCTTCCAGAAGAGTTCGTGGTCCAGCACTACCACCCTTGAACAGCGATCATTGGGGCAGAAGTCACACCAGATTACCGAGCATGAAACCAGTCATCTCTGCCAAACCCCAAACCGGCTGTAGCACACTACGCAGGATGGCCGGACCGGGACATACTCCCCGTAGTCCCCAGGCGAGACCAAAAGCGACTCCGCCTGCTACAAAACGCCAATCAATATCCGCCACAGTCGCAGTGGGCAGTCTCCACTGTGCCGCCAGAGTAGGTGTGGACCGTCCCGACTTGTCCTCAGTCTGCTGTCCCGGTTTGGTCGACAAGTACGTCATCAGTGACGGGCCGATTCCGAAGAGGATGATGAGAGCTAGCGATGGATCGAAGCGTGAAGGGTCGGACAAGAAGGCAAAGAACCGCAGAACCTTGGCTGGGTCAGCCATTCCTGAGAATAGCAGCCCCAAGCCGAATTCCAGACCGGCCAGGTACGAGAATATGGTTTTTGAGCGCTCAGATCTATCCAGGGTACGGGGCACGACGACGAAGTTCACCACGGATGTGACTACTGTGGTGGTGAGCATGACGACGAGTTCCGCTGTGGACGGATAGACGGGCATGTAGCAGGGTGTTCCACCGGCACATGGAGGAATGTTGGAGCCGCCGGCGAAGAAATTGGCTGTGAGCAACGCGGTGGTGAAGAAGACAGCAGTAGCAATGAACGAGCGTGGAGACAATCGGGAAATGCCACAGAGCATGTGGCCGGACGTGCAACCTCGACCGTTCTATCTCACGATGTCGTTAGCAATCACAGCTCTCGCGTCTCAAGAGGAGAGGAATCATTCATCTACCTTTGTACCCCATCCCAGCAGAAACCCATGGCCCACAGTCAACAGCCACGTCACCCAGGAACTCGGTGCAGCAGGATATGACGGAATGGCGGAAGGCAATAAAAGGGCGACGGGGACAACACTCGACACCAGACCAGCAATGAGAGCCACATTATCTCTTGTCGGATTCAGTACAGCGCCCGACAAGAGCGAAGAGATACCCAACACAGCACCATTGTGCAACAACAATCCCGTAGAGCCCTGGAAGAGCATCAAGGCCCCGAGCGTGGTATGCACGGGCGTGAACATGTTGAGGCTATACAGCGAGTAGTAGGAGTAGATGATCAAAGATGAAGAATACCTTCATCATACAAGCAATGGACAAATTAAAGGCGAAAATCGAGCCATGAGAAAGAATCCCAGTCCAGCAACATCACAATGTGAAATATACGGAACAACGAAATTGTAACGGCGACTTCCTCCCTCACCGATTTTGAAGTGAACAAAGAAGGCCGAGTGAGTGAGTGGCAGTTCGGGGACCACACATTCCAATCACATACCGTGACAGAACTGGTCCCCGAAACCAGAACCAGAAAGTCGAAGGGCCGATGAGGACGGGAGTCCCCGAGTGAGTCGCAGCCTTTTACTTTCAATCCTCTGATTGAGAATTTCTAGGAAATACTTGTGGCGCGGATTGAGCACATGGTTATATAAATATACATTCTTTGTCTATATCAGGTCATCATCTATGCAGGGATAATATACTAAATTCTAATCCTAGCTGCAGACATCTCCTCGTGGACCAGCGGTTCCTTCGGACGGTCGGGGAGAGGATGTGCAGGGGGGAACAAGACGATCGAAGGGGAATGGAAGCATGGAAATGCCGGGGATTCGTTGGTTAGTGCAGATTTTAGCTGGGTTGGTCCCCGACCGAGGCGCCGATTATCTTCACGGAACCATGGTTCAATGCTTGCCTGGTCGCGTTGTCTGGAAGTGGTGAGCAGATCACCGAGGTGAGGCAATGGCAGTGGTTCTTTTGGCCTAAGTGTGATTTGGAATTGGATATTCTTGGTGGTTGCTTGGATTTGTTATTTTCTCGGAGAAATTTCCCTTCATTATATTTATTGCATTCATTGTAAGAAGAAGGGATGAGATGGAGATAGTACTAAGGACTCCATTGCACACAGTCTACACCTTCGAAGTGGGTACAGGGGTAAGAAAATTAAAGTTGCATACTCTGAACAGACTATTGAGATGATCTTACTACTTATAACATGAGAGATATCTGGATCTTATACTGATGTACACTGGGTTATTCCCTTACCAAAATAGAATCGGCACCGCTACTCGCTCAGCTTCAACCTTCCTACACTACCTACCTAACATTCCGAACCTAAAGCACCAGACACATTCCATCCCTGAACAATCCTATCAAGCTTATCTATCACCGACAGCAAAACAAAGTTAATCCAAAAGTACGGAACAAAAGCCATCATATGTCATTCACCCCTTTCTCCACAAACACAAACACCACCACCATCTCCCCGACGCATTCAACACCAACAGATCCCGATCCGGTCAACACTAACTAAACCCCTTGTACACCGACAAAAGACTTCGGCGACCACAATCTAAAATGTTGCTACTAAGTACGTCGTATCTCGGGCTCCAGTGGAGTCCGGTCATTCATTCCATATTAAATCCTGATAGCATCCGGCCACGAGAACCACACCGTCGCCGTTCTTGATTTATCCATCTCGGTCTCTTGGCTGCAGTGCGTAGTCGGATATCTCTAGACTGGCTGGCTAGTTCACTTAGATTCAATTCGGGCATGCTGTATATTTAATGAGTTGGATTATGTCTGTTCTTTGTATTTCGGTGGTGTGGTCATACACTAGGATGCTTTTCTGATACTTTAAGTTTGGTCTGTATAGCATAATATTCTGCATCAGCAGCATCAATTGCTCGCATGGCTTAGTTGGTAAAGCGCATGACTAGTAATCATGAGATCCTCGGTTCGAATCCGAGTGTGAGCATTTTTTGTGTTTTTGTGGGGCGTGTAGCTGTGAGGATTAGCGTGTATTCTCTTTTCTTTATATGTAGTGTGCGATGAAAATGAAGGCTGAACTGAACGTATTAGTTGAATTTGTATACTTTAACTGGTTAGTCCCTGGTGTAATTCATGGATGAATAGGTGTGGAGTATATTGAAAACCGACCATCTACGGTAGCTTTGTTCTATCGGGTTAGTGGGCGAGGCATAATGATTGATCGATCTCTAGGAATGTTCGGTGACTAGTTTGCTGGGTTTACTGGACTGTGCCACGGGCTTGGGGGTTACGAAGAACTTTAGTATTTGTGCACGGGTATTTGGTTGTAGTGATGGATGAGATCACGACACTTTCTATATCTTAGAATGTAGATGTGCCTTCCTTACATCTCTTTCACTGGATGCCCACCTGTGCTTGATACTCTGTTGTACCAATCCACAACAAAATCTGCTAGTATCACACTCATTCCCCATTGACCTCGGCCAAGTTCACCTTCCACCAGCCCTCTTCCACCTCCTTAGCCTGCAAGCCATTCTCCGCCTTCCGCGGGTACCCATGTCCCTCGCCCTCAAAGATCACCAACTTGGCCACCCCGCCGCTGCGCTGGACATCATCAGCCATCGCCTGCGCTTGGTTCAACGGCACAATCTCATCGTCCGTGCCCTGCAACAACAGCAGTTTGGCCTTGATTTTGTCTGCATGGAACCTGGGGCTCCGCTCGCGATACACCTTCCGCTTCTCTTCTTCAGTCTCGGGCACCTTATCATCGAATAGTAGGCGGAATGCATAGTGACTCTCGAACTTGTGAGTTTCGGCCACGAGGGCTTCGACGTCACTAATTCCAGAGACGCTGACCGCACCGGTGAAGAGAGTCGGGAACATGCAGATTGCCTGGAGAGTGGCGTATCCACCGGAACTAACGCCAGTGATGCCAATGCGGGACGGGTGCACCTTGCCTTCGGAGATCAGGTAGCGGGCACAGTCTGCGGCGTCGTGCACATCGAGCACACCCCAACTTCCATTAAGAAGCTTGCGGTAGGCACGTCCGTAGCCAGAGGAGCCGGCGTAGTTGAGCAGGGCAACGGCATATCCTCGTGTGGTGTAGTACTGCCACATCATGCTAAGGCCGGGGTCGGTGTGGATGGTGGGCCCGCCGTGAATGGTAATGATGAGCGGGGGAAGCTCGCCTGGGGCACTGCTGTACTTAGGATTCGTGGGAGGGAGGAAAAATGCATGGGAGAGAGTATTGGGGTGGGTGGAGATGGTGCGCGGGAATGAGATGTGTTGGGCACGAGAAAAATAAGTGTCGGAGATGGTGACTGAGGTGGAGGAGCGGAGGACGGTTGGCGCAGAGGCATCGTTGTTGGTGAGAGAGATGTGGTAGACAGTGCTGGGAGCAGTCGGGGTGCTGGCAATGACGGCAATGCTGGTGGGAGATGTCAGGGCCACGGCGCTGTGTTGGATGCCAGTGAGCGATGCGATGTGGGCGGGGAAGGTATAGGTGTTTTTCTCGAGGTCAATGATGACGAGACGCTCCGTTGCGTTCTGCGTCCAGGCTGCAACAATCGTGTTGGCGTTTGGAAGAACATATGTGCAACTGCATCGTGTTAGATATATACTATGTGAGCAAGAGGGTTAGGAGTCATACGATCCCAAGAGCCATTCTGGGTGAGCGAACTCGCCCTTCTCCAGGCCTTCAATAACGATAGCACGGGGCTCATCACTTCCATCCGGGCTCCAGCGATAAAACTGCCAATATCCAGTGCGATCCGACACAAAGAACAAGGTTCCGTCTGGTCCCCATCTCGGCTGCAAGATACTTTCTTCATCGCCATTCCCTGCCAATTTCACAGGGGTTCCAACCTTCTCATCCTTCCACGGTGCGGAAAACAACTCAGTTCCCGTCCACGGCATCTCGGGATGGTTCCACTGGATCCAAGACACTCTATCACCAGCAGGGCTGAACGTGGGATGCGAGTAAAAGTCCGCTCCCGTCGCTGCAACCTCCACCTTCTTATTCCCGGTATTGATTACAACAAGCTCATTGACCACCTCCTTGCCGTGGTGATCCTCCCTGATAGCAAACACCAATTCTGGTCTCTTGGGGTGGGAATTGAACGCAGCGTACCAGATCTTTTCGTCCGGTTCCACGGCTGCTGTTACATCACAAGTGGCAGGATCAAGGATATACACCCCGTGAGTTTTCCAGTCTGCGAAGATCACCTTTCCGTCTGACGTGGTGTTGAACGCCGCGCCGCCGTAGCCGTGGACGGCTGTGCGGGCACTGTAGGCAGCTGGTAAAACGTCACGGGGCTGGTTGTTGCGCCATTCGACAATACAATTGCGACCTTCTTCGGCAGGGCGGCCTTCATTCACGTAGATGGTACCATCCGCCTGCAGGGAGAGGTCAATTTAATTCGACGTAGTAGGATACAGAGGAGAAGGGGACGAACTGTGGCCGCGATGCCGGAGAAACTGATGCCTTTGGACGTCAGGGTTGCGGCTGTAATGGGACTGTCCCAAGTGCCGAAGGGAGCTGTCTGAGGTTCTGCGGGGGTAGCCATTTGGTTGACTTGAAATATTGGGGATGTGTTAGAAAGTGAGTGAATGGATGAAATATTTTTGGAGGGCGTAAAATGAAAGATGGACGTGGCCGGATGAGGGGGTTGAAGTAGTGCAATAATCAGGTACCGGGTGAAATTTAGCAGGGAGGGGAACTGAGCACAAGCATCGTTGTGACATCCACCAGCCAGATTAGTTCCGCGGTGTTCCCGCGATCCGAATGGCTTCGATAAGCCCGTGCCAGTTACATGGGGAATAGTGCTTACGCACTAATATGCACTGGTCAGCCCATGCCCCTCTTAATTCCATTTAGTGCGAACTGGTCTGTGTCCTGGTTAAGGCTGTGCCTGGATGTGAACAATGCCATATGAATTGGGGAGATATTCATATCCAGTAATCTACAGAAGCCTGCCTCTTCACAGTTTAACCGAGCCAACTACATCTCGTTCCAGCCTCATTGAATTCACCAAATGAGGCCCCAATTCCGACAGCTTTGTCACGCCCAGGAACACCATGTTCATTTCAATTTCCTGCCGCAAGATTTGAATGGCCCGGCGGGTCCCATCTGCTCCATAACCTGCTGCCAGACTGAACAGAAATGGTCGCCCAAGCCCAACAGCAGTTGCTCCTAATGCAAGGGCCTTCAGGACATCTGTTCCACGTCGAATGCCTCCATCAATGAAAATTTGCATGTTACTTTCGATAAGGTATGGTGCATATCGTCGGATCTCGAGTAAAGTGACCAGTGGAGGTTGAGCGCTGTTGCGGGTGAGCCTATGGAATACAATATCTGTGAATGGGATCCCACGTACGTGTCTTGGGACCTGCCACCATGGTTGGACAGGACGATTCCCTGTACCCCATGTTGATATGCCAAAACAGCATCTTCCACACATTGGATCCCCTTAATCACCACCGGTAGATCGGTGAGACCGCGAAGCCATGTGAGAATCTCCCAGTCAATGTACGGCGAGATGGAGCTGGCCATTGTCTTTGCGACACCTTGTCCTTTGGCAGATGAGTCGCGCGCCTGTAGAAGATGTTAGAATCTGCCTTCAAGCCATCACAGTATCTTACCTGAACCTCAAGATTCAATCGCTCATCCATTTCCCGCTTCCCAACAACAGGGGAATCGACCGTGATCCAGATACCACTAGCACCAGCTTTCACAGCCCGTCGGACTGTCTCCTCCGACTTTTTAATGTCTTTGTTGACATACACCTGCTGGAAAAGCGGTTGATTAGGGTGGATCCCCGCCGCTCGCACAGCATCAATAGACATGCTGGAGCCATTTGCTAGCACCTGTGCCAATCCTTCCTCGCCAGCTGCGATGGCCAGTGCGCACTCTCCGTCGGGATGAGCAAATTTGGCGATTCCGGAGGGGCTCATGTACACTGGCAGCGACACGGGCTGTCCCAAAATCGAGGTGGTCGTGTCTACGTTGCGAATGCTGCGGAGAATGCGAGGCCGGAAAGACACCTTCTGGTATGCCTTTTGACCTTGTCGTTTGCTGATCTCATCGTCGGCTCCGGAGTAATAATATGCCCATGCCTGAGGAGAAAGATGTTGCTGTGCTACCTTCTCGAAGTCATTGAGGTTGATTATACTGTTTAGTGGTGGTGGAGGGTTTTCTTCAGCTGTTGCCGATGTCTTGGGAAGGGGTCGGGATGCTGTCGCCAGAGTGTCTGGTTGGACAATGCCTTTGAGGGCCGACTGGGGCAGGGCCTGTGAGAGAACGTCTTTGTCGTGGACTGAATCAAAGTCTGCCGTGCCATCTTTTCCCGCACAGCGAAGAATCACCTGTGGACCGCCAGGATGCTCATCGAGGAAATCTGGCGGTGTGAGTAGTTGGAAGGTGACTGCTTCAATTGAACTTACCAGTGACATCGTAAACAGAGCCATGGATAGCTACCCAGCACGACTCGCGTGTTGAGTGCTTCTCGACCTCTTCTCGACTCAGTATCGACATGATGCTTGAGATAGTGACTCAGGTCAAGAAGGAAGAACAAATGTCAACTGTGGAGAAAATGGCCTCGCCAAGTCGATACCCCAACCCCGGATTAGCCGGTCAAGATGCGGAGAAATATCCGCTGCGGGTGATGCCGATCCCCCACGCCAACGTTGACCCCAGTCTTGGCTTGGGGGTTGTATACATCGGCCCTACGAACGATGGATCTCCTCATCTCATTCCTACTCCGCAAGAGCAGTCATCATGGCAACGGAACACTCAGGAGATGCTCACAAGCGGTCCCCTTCGCATGTCGAGGATATCCATCACCCCAGCAAAGTCAGTCATGGAGATACGGCACTCGCCCTCCTTGCAGCTGGCGGTGAACTGGAATCAGCCGAGCCCATTGAGTTGAAGAAACTTGTCCGCAAGATAGACTGGATCATCCTGCCGTTTCTCTCAGTCTGCTATGCGTTCTACTACGTGAGTTTACAGATTCCTCGAACGGGACCTTCTGACACGGACAGATTGACAAAACCACACTGTCATACGCAGCCATCTTTGGAATCAAGGAGGATTTGAAGTTAACGGGAGAGCAATACTCATGGCTGTCCTCTGTCTTCTACTTTGGCTTCCTTGTTTGGGCGTTGCCTACCAACTTTCTCCTCCAGCGCTTTCCTGTTGGAAAGTACCTGGGCGTGAATATCTTTCTATGGGGGTTCTTTCTGATGTTACAGGGTAAGTACATTGCTAGTTACAATTGATCGTCTGTCTAATAATAGCAGCTGTCGCAAAGAACTTCACGCAACTGGCTGTTCTGCGGGTGATATCGGGGGCCGCTGAAGCATGCAGGTAAGTATCATCCTCAGTATGCAAGACACCAGTAACTGATCATTCAGTGATCCCGCCTTCATGCTCATCACTAGCATGTGGTACACAAGACGCGAACAGCCCATCCGCATTGGAATCTGGTACACGGCTAATGGCGCTGGAATTGCCCTAGGTGGTCTGCTAGGGTATGGCATCGGGCAGATCAATGGTGCCCTCGCCTCCTGGAAGTACGAGTTCCTCATCATCGGCGCCCTCTGTGCATTTTGGGGTATTCTTATTACAATATTCCTCCCTGATTCCCCCGTCAATGCTCGTACTTTCTCCTCCCGAGAAAGACGACTTACCATCGAGCGACTCCGCGACAACCAAACCGGTGTCGAAAATAAGACCCTCAAGCCGACACAAGTTCTGGAGGCCCTTCTCGACTGGAAAGTCTGGGTATTTCTACTCCTCGGCCTGTCAGGGAACATTCCCAATGGAGGAATCTCCAACTTTGGCACTCTGATCATTCAAGGATTTGGCTTTTCAACCCGTACGTTGCTTCCCCTAGTATCCCTACAAACTACTATATATTCTCACCACTGACAACATAACCACAGTGGTAACAACCCTAATGCAAATTCCCTACGGCGCCTTCACCTCCCTCATGATCATCATCGCCGTATTCATCAACGACCGTCTCCCCCCAAACAACCGCTGCCTAACCGCCATCTTCTTCCTCCTCCCCAACCTCGCTGGCTCCTTCGGCCTCGCCTTCCTCCCCGCCACTAACCAAGTGGGCCGTCTGATCTGCTACTATCTCACAGGCTCATACAACGCCTCCTTCGTACTCATCCTCTCCATCCTAACAGGAAATATCGCAGGCCATTACGAAGAAAGTCGTCACGAATGCGATGATCTTTCTCGGAGTGTGTGCAGGTAACATTGCGGGCCCATTCTTCTATCGTTCCGAGCAGGCGCCGCGGTATACCTTGGGGATTTGGTCCATGGTTGTATCGAACTTTATTGAAATTGCGTTGATTGTGGTTTTGAGGGTTGTCTTGGCGTGGGAGAATCGGAGGAGGGATAATATGAGGTTAAGGGAGGGAGGGGATGGAGTTGGGATTGGGAGTGGGGATGGCGATGATGTGGTGGCGTTTGGGGATTTGACTGATAAGGAGAACTTGAACTTTCGGTATGTTTATTAAAGAAGTGGCGGGGTATGGTAAGTTGGTTGCTACTCCCTGGTTTGCAGATGGAAGTCACAGCGAATGAAGTACTCGAGGGAGGATGATATCATTTCTTGTTATTGAATTGCAGATCTAGAGTTCCCTATATGCTAAAGGGGCAGAAGGCTTGACTAACAGCTTATGGATGGAGAGAATTACTCCAGAACAAAATACACGTGAGTGCGATGTAAATACATGATCGAAGTGAAAACAAGAACGACACAACAGCAGTTACATAACAAGTGAAGATATATCAACAGCACAAGACACAATCTCAGTAGAACATTCCTTGCTTGACGGGTCTCGGTTCAGAACCGGTGGGGTGACGCCAGTACAGGGACACAGCATCCCAGGTAGCTTTAGCGCTTCCCGCCGGCACAATCCCCGCCGCTTCCAAGTCCGATGTCACAGTATAGACCCAGAATCTGCATCCTTCCCACTCGACGGTGAACTTATACCGGTCACGCCCCTTAGAGTTGATCAGGTCCACGATATTTTGGACACTGACGATGCCGTTCACCCGGAAGGCCAGAGTCTTGCTCGCATTGTTGGTCAATGGGTATCTCTTTGAGGCTACCATGATCTTTCCTCTTTGCCCATCACTGCCATATCCCGGGGACATGTCCAGTCTGACAGATCGGTTAGGAGAGAGCTGCAAGAAAGCAGCCCAGTGGTTGGTAGGTGGGTTTCCATCGTCGTCGCCTGCATTTTGCTCGTTCTTGTAACCACAAAGGTGAATGACCGAGACAGGGCTTTGAAGGTGCTCCAGCTCCAAGTCATCAGTGTCATAGTTGGAATTCATTTTGTCTGCAAACGGTCAGTCAGGTTCGATCGCTGCGGTGTACTTCAATGATTACCAGCCGGATTGCTCACGATTATAGGACAGGACTCTTGACCCTCGAAGGAGATTAGACAATGAGAGAGAAGAATGAAGGAAGCTATGTTAATGGCCACTGGTGGTTTTGGCTCAAAGAAGTGGTTGTATCGCGATTGAATGACGCAGAGAATCGTACAAGGCGTTCTGATATTTATAACTTCCACGGTCCAACTATCAGAATACTATAACCACAGCAATGAAGCCAGCCTCGTTGGTCTCGGCGCCTAACGAGACGCCATTCTCAGCCGCACGAGATAAGGAAGCTGCAGCCTGTCGCCCCATGAGACCAATGGTCGTCGAATAACAGATGATAATCAAGGCGCCAATAATGTCGATCGCATGTTTGCACCAAAAAAAAAAAAAAAAAAAAAAAAAAAACAGGAAGGTATGCGAACGATTGGACCTCAGTCGGTGGTGAATGCACCATATTTGTTGGCGCTTAATTAACAGATATAGAAGCAACTATCCATTGGTGCTCGGCGTTCATGGATATTGGTTGCAGTAAGCGCCCGCAGATTTGCATGTACTCGAAAATGCCTTGTTAATGTTTGTGGCTTGTATCAGGAAAGCAATGCGCGAATGGAATCCGAAAGACCCCGCAGCAGCACAATTATGTCCCAATGATAATTTACTATGCGAAACATATGGAGAGTCCGAAATGCTCATCTGAGCAAGCAGGTGCTGTGATTCGTAAGGAGAAGCTGGCGCCTATTCTGCCCTGAGGCTGCGCGCGAAGCGGACCTGACATCCGGTAATCCGCTACTCAAATTAGGAGCTCATGATGTCTCAGCAGGGTCCCAAATAAACCAGCAATGCCACTGAAAGTAGATGCTACATATGGGCGGATCTAGGATGCCGGGACTCTGGAGGGTCCTCCGATTTCTAGCAGCTCAAACCTTCTCGCAACGGCGAACCTAGTGAAATGCGACCTCATACTTTCGAGCACACGAGCTTCATGCTTATAGGACCCAACTGCAATCCATGTAAACAGGTACCAGCGTAGACGATCCCAAACGGTCCACGTCGAGTGCATGTCAAAGTTAAGCATCCCGGCATACTCAAAGTAGATTGGATAGAAACCAGTCAACTCCCAATCAAGCAGCCAGAGCTGTCCAGAAGGAGAAACAAGGAGATTCCGCGGAGCGAGATCATGATGCGTTAGAACAAATTTTCCCTGAGTTGGGGGAACATATTCTGTACCGCTAAGTTTCTGACCCTGCTTTGCGACTTGCATTGCCTGTCGCATGCCTCTGAAGTTGGCCCAAAATCGGAAAAATTCTGCGAAATCAGATGGTGCAGATCGCGGAGGAAGGCCGAAGCGATCTTCAAGATAGAAGGACCGGCACTGGCCCGTTGCTAGGGATCCGGCAGTGGATGAGGTGACTGATCGCAAGATACGCACAAAGCGGCGAAGCTGTAGAGCCAGCTTGATTGTGGCAAACCAACCCAGCGTCGTCCAGGTATTATCCAAAGTAGTGCCCTCAATTCTGTCCATGACATAGTGCGCATTTGGCCCATTTATGACCATCCTCTGTAGGGAAGGACCGCGGATTCCGAGTTGATGGGCGACTTCCATAGCTTTTGCGGTGTCTTCAGCTTCCGCGACACTTGTAGTCTTGGCAATGTATCGTGAAGAAAGCAGAGATACGTCGAAGGAAGATGGAGGTGATGGGGAGGAAAGGATGTGCTGGATTAGTTCTGCATCTGAATAGCTTTGCAGCAGATCATCACGAAATCCCGACCCCATGATTACAAGAATACTAGAGAGAATTCGGAAGAGTAATGAGCTTATGAATGGCAAGAAAGTATGCAGCCCCGTAGAAGGAGAGGCAAATGTGCTAGTCAGATCATGAGCATGGTGATGGCGCGCATTTCCAATCGGCGGCTGTCAACATTAGCACCCGGGTTAATATTAAGCCGCGTTCCGATCAGCCCTGGTTGGGTGTGTATAAGAGAGGAATGACGGGCACATTGATTTTTTGGAGTTCCCCAGGCAGGTAGATATTTGTGAAGTTACAAAGCATGATACGTACACGCTTGCATTACACCGAAATAGACAGGGAACGACATTGCTATCGTCTCACATACAACCAATACCTCATGACAGGATATCATACATTACTGCTTTCCCAAGCTCTCACCCAACTCCGCAGCTCTATCCGTGGCCGCCTTAACCGCCTGATCCACGATATCCGCAAAGTTCAGCTTCTCAAAAGTCTGCAACGCCGCATACGTCGTGCCATTCGGACTAGTAACGTTCTTCCTCAGCTGTGCGGGCTCATCATCCGACTCAACGAGCATCTTTCCAGCACCGAGACAAGTCTGCGCCGCCAGCCTCGTAGCCTGCTCCTTCGTCAAACCGAGAGCAGTCGCACTAGCAACAAGATGCTCAACCATAGCGAAGAAATACGCCGGACCGGATCCTATCACACCAGGAATTAGCCTCACCATCCCCCTTCCAAGTAGACAATAGACAGAAACATAGAAAGAGAAAGACATACCAGACAACCCCGTAACAACATCCAACAACTCCTCCTTATCCACCCACTCCGTAACCCGACTCACACTCCCCAACAACGCCTCAACCAAACCCTTATCCTCCTTACTAACCTCCACCCCGGCAAACGCACCACTAGCCCCCTCCGTCACCAACGCCGGCGTATTCGGCATAACCCTCACCACCGGCGCCACCTTCCCACCCTCAACACTCAACCACTTCTGCAAACTCTCCAACGTGATTCCCGCCGCAATGCTCACCACAATCGGGAACTTCTCCCGCGCCGTGGCCGTCCATTCCTCACGAAGTTCCTCGCACACGGTCTTCGCGACTTGCGGCTTCACGGCCAGAATGACGACGTCGGCGGCGGAGGCGGCCTCGGTGTTGGATGTCGTGGTGTTCACGCCCAGCGCGGCGATCTTGTTCCGGTTGACTTCCCACGGCTCGGAGACGTGGATGTTGGTTGCGGGCACGGATTGGCGCAGCAGGCCGGAGATGATGGCCGAGGCCATGTTGCCGCCGCCGAGGAAGGCGAGGGTGCTGGTTTGGAGGGTGGGCATTTTGTTTACTTCCTCGGGGAGGTAGGTTTGTATGTGGACGGTTTGATTTGTGAAGGGGATGAGTCAATTGGGTTGTGATGGAGCTGGTGGTGATGATGGTGATGGGAGGGGTAGCTTGGTGGGTGAGGGGACACGTGATGTGGTGCCCCACTAGCTTATCGCGGGGTTGATATGGTTAGTCATGTTGATCTATAGATTTGTAGTTTGAATTGGTGATTTGAAGACGGGGTGGTGGGCTTATAGCCTCTACTGCAAGCTTGTTGACTTCTAATTTTCCAGTACTTAGTGTTGATTTCCCAAGGAGAATATGCCAGACCCCTTACAACCACATCACTATAGATTGGCCAAATCCAACTAGTATCCCACCACAACATCGCGCCTAGAGACCTATTTTCCGCCTCAGCAAAATAGTATATATTTAATGAAATATCCTAGAAAAAAACATCTGTGCAACAGTCCCACAGCATCTCCTTCCTATATTCAATAATATGAACCAGACCCCCTTGTCTCAGATAATGAGACCGTTGAGGTTAAAACGTGTGTATGACAGGCCACGACTAAGAATAAAAGGTAGCCTTTCTGTCATTGATACACCGTGTATGAGTAATCGAGAAGGAGAGAATATACTGGAACCCACAACTCAAACTGCATGCTCCACGATAGGTTGGGGATCACCAGCGAAACCAAGCACTCGAATCAACAGACACAGACATTCTACCCAACCTGCTTGTCACTGTTTAGAAGTAGTAATATCCCGTCCACGACCCAGTAGCAGGTACTAGACACCGATCTGCTCATGCCTGGTTGCACAGATACCGGCGGATTCGAAGCCATGTCGGGTTATTTTGGTAGCTGTTCTGAGCCGGATAGTATGGCATGTGCTTCGGCTCAGGAGGGTCTAAACTCGACTTATTGGATTCTTTATAGATGGGGGGTGTTAGGAATTGGATGCACCAGGTAACATGCCTCTACGCAGAGTCCGGAATGTAGAGGTAGGGTTTCGCGAGTATACATTCTGCAGAGCTGGTGTGTCGGATGATGTTGCGGTTACTACTAATAGCACAAGTTTCTAGGATTGGTTAGGGGTTTGGATGATGGTGAGGAGATAACAGAATATTGTGTTGCCGTTAGGATGGGATTACCGAAGAGATGATGGAGTTCATATGTTCTACTGGAAGCAAAGAGGCTTCTCTTCTTCAGGTACGATCTGGAATAGTTAGAGTATTCCATTGACTCACTGATTCGGTTGCTATCATCAAACATACCTGCTTGTCTCATACAAGTGCTCTAGTCTAACTCCATTACTGGCAGTGTTCCAGCATGGTAATCTGCAACTTACCCATGTACATCTTCCGACTCTGTAGCCACTGGTCCAGCCATCGGCTTAGTTTTCTCTTCAATTCCTTGTTTCACTTTGGCATCTTTCCCGTCAAAAATGCCGGCTATATGCTCGAGGCTGTATCCGCGAGTTTCTGGGTAAAAGAAATACGCTGTGAACCAGTACCCAATCAACACGGCCACGAACACGAAATAGTATTTCCAGTGGATGGCCGAAAGGGCGATCGGGTTGACAAACGTGTTGAATACCGTACATCCCATGGCAGACAGCCATACGATACTGAGTCCCCGTGAGCGGAGGCCAAAGGGCCAGATTTCGCATGTATACGCAGTGAACATAGGCGTTCTAGCAGCAAGCATTAGTCCGGGCATACATCAAGGGAAAATAATCACAATAGAGGAGCATAGAGGAGCATGGGATGTATGGCTTGCTAAACACCTACAGAGCGATATCATATCCCAGGAAGTAAATAAACAGAAATGGGATAACTGCAATACCGACTGGACCGTTGCCACTGGTGGCAAAGGCGCCCGACAGCCCACTTATCAGGATAAACGCGGTCAGCATGATGCTCGCTGAGGTTATGAACAAAATACGCCGCCCAATTTGGTCCACCAGCGAGGCACCAACCGCCGCGAAAAGGACGTTCCAGACTTGCAGGCAGGCGGAGATCAATAACTGATCGCGCGTTTGTGTGACCCCGACAGATCTTAATATCACGGTAAGGTAGTAGGAGACTACCCCGTTGCCCGAAAATTGTGCAAATACCCCGAGGGTAATGGTGATGAAGAGCCGATGGCGGTTTCCCGGGGACTTGATAACGCTCATGCTCCCTGCTGAAGCAGCCGCATTGTACTCCGCTCGAATAATCTCTTGAATATTCTGGACTTCGTACGCGATGAGAGGTGAAGTAGTATCCCCACCAGTGTGTAGCTCAGCTAGAATTCTACGAGCTTTCTCGATACGTCCCCTAGATATCAACCACCGGGGGCTCTCGGGAATGAACGCAAGACCAGGAACAGCTATGAGAGGAAGGAGGAGCTGTAGAAGAACCGGCAATTTCCAGGCCCAGGGGCCGTCATACGCTTGTGTTGCGAAGGTAACCCACGCCGCGACGGCCGCTCCAAGGTAATAGCCGACCATGTAGAGTGCCCCAAAGACACCACGATGTGCAGGGTAGGCGATCTCACTGAGTAGGATAGGAGCCGCGTTGCTTACCCATCCCATACCACAACCAATCACGGCACGAGACGCAGTGAAGACGTTGGCGGACGACGCAGCAGTGCCCATTGTTGTTCCGGATATTAGAAAAATAACCCCAACCCAGACTCCTACCCGCCGGCCATATCGGTTACACGTCCAGGCAGCGACTGGAGTGGAAATTAATGCCCCAATCCAGTACACCGCATTGATGAAGCCAAGCCAAGTGCTGGATGGCTTTTCCATAAAGTTGACCCACTCTGGCATAGCCTGCAGGCCATTTACCAAGGAGCCATCGAACCCGCCCGGAGAAGCTATGGCTGCTCAGTTAGGAATGCCATCAATGCAAGATTGTAGAGGAAGGTATGTGACTTACAAAAAAGGGATAGGATGACCATAAAAAGATTCACCTTGCGAAGGTGAGGGCTGCGCCACCAAGTGACAGCTGGCAAGACTGAGGCGAGTTCTTGATCGCCAAATTTTGGCGTCACAGGGGTGTTCATGGTGATTCAACGGAAACGTAAGTCATTCAGTGGTTCTGAACCAGAAAGATGTTATTGGGCGCGGCAATATGGTATTCACTGTATCTTATAGTTACGTCGACGTTCAACGAAGCAAGGGATCAAGAGAAATGTGCCGGCAGATCATTTCAGTATGGTCTTATACCGCTGAACAGCATGTTTCCATGGGGAACCGTGCCCAAAAATGCCAGACTAAATACCTGGGCTGGGAAAGCACGACTGATTGCAGGATTGTATCATATAACTCCTTGATGGCGTTCAATCGGTGATGGTACCCCAGACGTGGAATAGGCTTTTTTCGGGGTCAACATCGCGGGAAATACTCCCGCTTCGCTTTTGATGACCACATGCCTATACATGGTAGGCCTTTCCACCGGAAGGAGTGACTCAATTTCTGTCCCTTCGTAACTTTTAGCATTGGGATAGATTTCAGTGGAAAAATTTCTCAGACCATGGACGTACCGTGATCCTTCCATGGCCTGACGTGTAGGTTCCTTTTCCTTCAGCGGTCTGTTCTGAGATCAAATTACGCTGTAAGCAGTCACCACTCTTGCTGCCGTACCACCAACACATGTAACATTCTGGCAACCCACACCGGATGTATTGCCAATCCTTTAGCCCAGCTCAGTGTAACTGACTCGGCGTCTGGGCCAATGTGTAGGCCAACGCTACCACTCTCCGTATCTCCGATGCTGTATGGATTTGTCTTTTATCATCGGCAGCCCAACTTGCTCCCTTTCCCTTGGATAGTTCCACAAGCGTTGTGTTAGACTGGAGGCATCAAAGCTGTTCATAATTCCTTTAGTTGCCATAGTCTTGGTTCGAGAGCCATTGCAAGGTCTTTGAGAACCGATTCTGGAAGAAGTCAGTATGTGTATGGTGAGGAGAGCGAATTACTAACCCGGCATGGAATTTCGGAAGTATTTTGCTACTTTCTACTCATATTGATAGAGGGTTGCGAGGGTTAAAAGTCTACCTAATGCGCTGAGCATTGCTGGATGTAGCGTTTGGTTTGTGGTGAAGTGGGTTGTTGATAATGTGGGAAAGCATGAGGAACGGCGATGCAAGGCTGCAGCGGGACTCAGCCAAGATCGGTGCGGCTGACAAACATGTGGTTTCTAGCAAATGAGGGATTCTGGCGAATCGAATATTAGAGAGATGACGGTCGTATTTTTAGAGTCTATATCATTCTCCGCCATGTATAAAGCTAAACTGGCTTCAATTTGAGCCTCCCATATAGTATTTCGTCGATAGTTCCCCCATTAGTGCTGATGAAAGTGGGAGGAAGTAGGGGTATGATTTCAGTGACTGGTAATCACTATCGTCTACTGATTATGGACCCAGCTATTTTACTATAAAAATGCTTATCAATTGCTTTGATCTTGAATGGAACAGTTTCATAATAAACTTAATATACGCTTTAATATGTACTAATGATAGCTATATCATACATAGAATAGATATTATGTATCCTCAGGTTGCATACTCCCTAGAGCCAAAAGTCTTGCTAGGATAAACCCTCAGGAATAACCAAATTACCGGCACTCGAACGCGGTGGTCTTGTTCCAGTTACCTCCAACATACTTGGCCTCCTTGGGGTAGACGCAGAGAGGGCGCTGAGCCTGCACACCTTCCGCCGGGGTGTCATCAACGAACTTGGTTGCGATCAGCTCATCAGGAGCGATGCCATTCTCCACCCAGGCCATCAAAGCCAGGATGGCATCGTGCTTCCGGTCACGGTAACCAGGCACACCCCAGACATTGGTGCCGGTCAGGCCGCCGGGCTGGTTAGCCGAGGCGATGTACCACGGAGCATCGTGGACGGAGTCCAAGCAGTGCTCCATACCAGGGATCAAAAAGAAGCGGTAGAAGTCGTCGAGATCGATGCCAAGAGGGGTAAGCATCTTCTGGACCTGCTTGTAGTAGTAGATGCTGGAGCCAGTGGGGATCTCTCCGTCAGCAAATCCGTGGTAATGGATCAGCTTACCACCCTTGTTCTTGAAGGGACGGAGATCGAAGTCACCGGCGGTGGCATTACCGGGGTCCAGTCGATCGGACAGCTCAATGGTCGAGTAGTCCAGGTTTTGCCAAGGCCAGTTGGCATCGTTGTAGACAAAGTCACGGGGGTAGGCAATACCACTGGGGCTGTCCTGCTCGTCGTCGTCGGTCATGATCATCTGAGCGAACTGGGTTTCGGCACCGTAGGCGAAGCTGGGGAAGACAAAGGAGTCGTTGGTCTCAACCCAGGGGCTGTAGATCTTGTAGACAGTGTCGATCTGATCGGCGGTGAAACAGGTCGACTTGTTGGCGGAGGGACCGTCACAAAGAAGGGTCTCAGGACGGAAGTCGCAGGCATAGCCGTTCATGATAATGTTATCCTTGACGCCATCAACTTCGTCGCACTGACGGAGGACTTCAGTAGCCAAAGCATCCACCTGAGTTTCGGTGATGTGGTGGCTGGCGTTGTTGGGGAGGTTGTAGGTGGCGAGCTTGAGGTCCCAGTTTTGCTGATGAGTGGTCCACCAAGCGCAAGCACCGGCGAGGACACCATCGAAGTCGTCAGGGAACATCTGGACGGACTTCAGACCCTGTCGACCACCAGTGGAGCAACCGGCGTAGTAGGAATAGCTGATATCTTCGCTGTAGAAGGCCTCAGTAAGCTCCTTGCCAAGAGCGACAGAGCCATGGAGTGCACGCCATCCCCAGTCAGTACGAGTCTCAGGGTCGTTGAGAGCCCAGCCTGCATCGCCAGCCTCAGTCACGGAGGAGTTGTGTCCAGTGTTTGTGGAAACGGTAGCAAAGCCGTAGAAAAGACCGGGTGCCATATCAGCAAAGGCGATCATGCCAGTGAAGCCACCATTGCCATAAGCCATGTAGCGCTTGTTCCAAGTGTTGATGGGCAGCCAAAGGCCGAATTCGTAGGACGAGGTAGCAGACGAGCTCACGTTAACGTAGACGGCGCAGTACTCCGGGAGACCGGAGTAGTTGCCCAGCGGGCCAACAAAGGTATCGTTGGGTCCATATGGAACTGCGTAAACGAGAGAGGCGTTGGAAGAAAGATGGGGAGTGAAGGTCTCAGGAGTACAACGCGAGGTTGCGATAGCCTGGGTAGCAACCAGGTTAATGGCGCCCGCCAGGAGAAGTGAAAGACGCATCTTGATGATGAAAAGGACGGAAAGGTTTGTTTTTTCAGAAGGAAGTGATCTTCATTCTGTATTTAAGCAGCCGATGGAGCCGGTTCGTCCGATCTGGGCTCCGTGCAGGGAACGAGAAATAGGCATCCATGATTGAGACTGACGCGTCAGGAGTTGTTTCGAGAAGTGGGACGATAAGGCTTCCAATGTCTGATGATGTGAAGATGGGATGCTTCAGGGGCAAGTTATGTCGAATCCACTGATTGCGCGTTTCTCATTGAATTCCGGGTTGCGAGTGGAGAAGCAAACCAGCGGATTGGCAGGCCAAAGCCAGATTCTAGAAGCATGCCGTTTGGGGTAGAGGATCATCAAGGCCTTGCTAATTTAGCGCCCAGGTGGTTCCGAACATAATCAGGCGCATATTTGATCATACTAAACAGGTGGAGTGGCATGATACCGCTATTTTAGTGCCCGCCTACTCGTGGCTCTAAAGTATGGCACTTATGCACATGGTTGCAGGTTGATGGCTCTAAATATGCCGCTACTGCACATGGTTGCAGGGCGACTGCTCTAAAAAAGGCACTTATGCACAGGGCTGCATATTCAATGGTTCTAAAACTGGGACTTATGCACAGTGTTGCAGTGTTATTTCTCTACTTTGAGAAGAGGCACTAGTATTGCATATGGTTGCTGGACAGAGATGCGTAGGAGGGGGGTCCGGTGATACCCAATTATAAATAAGCTTACACTAGTAGTAGCTGATCATGCAAAACAGCTGGTGGGGTCTGCGCCGCCCCATCTTACTTTGTAACAAGGCGCAAGCAGTCAGGATTAGTATTGTGTACTGTATTTCATCTCCACATCCTGCATTTCCTGTAGCACATGGAGTTAGCCGCATGAAATGATAGATGAGATAGGCAACAGTTTTTCCATAATGGCTATATCTTCAGGTGATTTCTCAAGTACTCTTAGCGTAAATGAAGATACACAGGTCTAGGGAAAACCCTGCTAGTCAACGTTCTGCAAAGCATATTGGGAAACGGAAGGCTTCGTCATCGTACGATCAGAGTCTTCCGCTAGATGACTAGATGCGGCAGGAAGAAGTGTAGATCTCGGATATAACAGCAGTTGACTTCTTGATTTATCGGAAACCGAAACCGATGGAACTATTGTGCAAGAACATGCAGCAGAGAAGTTGACGAACTCTTCGTCTTCGAAGTTCGAACATACGTCCAGGTGGGGATCAGGGCAGCGGTATTGCCATATTAGGTTTAGTCTCCGCAAGCTTGTTGATCGAACAACCTAGACTAGTCCTGATTTGGAGATATTATCGAGCTCAGGCCAGACCCTGCTTTTCCCCTTTTGGCAGTAGCCGGCAGTTGTCCGAATCGATGTGGTTTCAAAAATCATCCAGCTGCCGACTCACGGCAATATCATGAGCTGAAATAAACTGATTATATGTTCTGTGTGGAGGCAGGAGGAAGGTATGCTTCATTGGTGTCTCAGGAAACCATACTAGTCCTGTCGTTGGATATATATCTCCGACCTACTACTGCTGTCATCCCAATAGTGAGAATCCAGTGACTGTCGTATGCAGGGGAGTTCCTAATGAGCCTCCTACTACTAGATCGTTTTTGAATACTAAACCCTCATATTTGAAAAGAGTACCGGACTTCTGACAGATCAAATTGCCTAGCACATATTCAAAGTGACCTCGAGACGAGATCTTGATATAGTCATGATGATTTTCAGTCTTTTGCACTTCCGTATACGAATTTCAATGTGTAAAGATTATTTACGTAGGTATCTCCAGGCAGCATCATTACTTGTGCACTATAGCCGTTAGACACAAGGAACTAGACTATAAGCTTATCTATATGATACAGGCTATTAGACGTGACCGTGTGGGCCTCTTGCTTGATTCAAACAAATTCAACATACGGCTCCACTCCTGATTGCAGCCAGAAGAGTATGTGCTCATCTAAGGTCCAAGCATGCAACCAGGACGTTCAAAAAAGGTATATCATAATGGCATGACACATGCACATCACCCAGGGTATAGCCAGCTATTCCAGACATAAGAAACAGATCGATCAGTCACGCTACGGTCCAGTAAACCCAGAGGTTAGTGAGCAAGCTGGGTAGCCGCATGGCAAGCATCTACATACTAGTCAATCCGATTCTCATGTTAATTAAAAAAAAAAAAAAAAAAAAAAAAAAAAAAGAAAAGGAGTGAAAAGAAAGACTTTTAGCGGATACACACCTTGCAGATCTATCCAGTTCCTTAAAACATCCATCCATTTCTTGTCACAGTTCAAGGCTACTAAGACATTTCAAGGCAGTTTATATTTATATTCTATTCTGGGGAAAGACACGACGTAGAGTAGATGGTACACTGCATGCAAGAAGCAGAATATATATGTATACATATATTGAAGTAGACAAGTGCTGCATAACAGCACTTCAGTTTCTTAGACTTACTCCTCTCTCTCTGGTAACAGGATACCACTATTTAAACAGCCGACATTCTAGACTCCATATGCTAGCAAGTTCTAGGGAAGTATCTCTACTTCTATGGGCTGTATAATAACCGAGGACAAGGAAGATGAAACTCTACCTCCCCATCCACCCCCCATCAACCAACAACACACTCCCCGAAACATACCGACTCGCCTTCCCAGCCAAGAACACCGTAACGCCCTTAAAGTCCTCTGCGGTGCCCCACCTCCCCGCCGGAATGCGTTCAAGTATACTCCTCGCACGATCCTGATCATTCAACAACGCCGTGTTCATCTCCGTAGCCACATATCCGGGCGCCACCGCATTGACATTAATTCCTTTGCTCGCCCACTCATTCGACAACGCTTTCGTGAGTTGCGCCACGCCGCCCTTCGCAGCCGCGTACGCAGGAACTGTTATTCCTCCCTGGAAGGAGACCAGCGAGGCGACGTTGATAATGGAGCCGCGGTGGCCGGTGGCGTCTGGGGTGCGGGTGAGCATGTAGGCGCCAAGGTCACGGCAGAGGGTGAAAATTGTAGTTAGGTTTGTCTGGAGGACCTAAGCAGATATTTCTTTCAGTTAGTGGGCAGGAGGCTTGGAGAAGGGGGGAGGGGGAAAATAGGAAGACGGACTTCGTCCCAGTCGCTGTCTGGGAATAAATGGCTGGGGTGCCGGCGTTGGATGCCGGCGCAGTTGACTAGGATGCTGATGTCGTGGCTGTCGGATAGGAGGGTAGGCGTAAGTTGTGAGACGGACTCCCGGGAGGAGAGGTCGGCGGTGTAGATGGTTGCTTTGCGGCCGAGGGATTCGATGCGTTGTTTGGTTTCGGTGTTGGATATGTCTCTCTATTTTGTATCAGTTTAAGATGCTGTCTGTTTGGTGTATTGTAGGTAGTGATAGTGGATACCTGGACGAGGATCACGTCGCTGCCGGCTTCGGCGAGGGCAATGGCCATTTGCTGGCCGATGCCGCGGGTGCCGCCGGTGACAAGGGCGGTTGTGTTTTCGAGGGAGAAGAGGTCCATTATTTACAGTTAAGTTAATTGAGTCGATATTTTTGCGTATGGCTTGCAAAGACTATGTTACTACTACTATGAGCTGTAGCTGGTATATGTATTCGGACAGATATCCGAGGCACCCCCACGCTCCCCGCATGTAAAGATGTCACGATGCAGATCACCTCCGCAATCACCCCCACAAGTCTGAGCTATCTACCACTCTCGGATTCCCCCATCGACGCCATAGAATTCCTTCGGTAGCCATGGCTCCGTTTCCCGACTGATTCTTCTCACCAACTCCTCATCAATCTCCACTCCCAGCCCCGCTCCTGTGGGCGCTGGCACATACCCCTCTTCGATGTTGAACACCGTTGGATTCGTCAGGTAGCTTGTGAGATCAATATCTCCGGCTTCAACATTATAATGCATTCCAAGCGACATTTCTTGGATGACGAAGTTCGGGGTTGAAAGAGCAACTTGCATTGAAGCTGCAAGGGCAATTGGACCTGAGCATTTGATTAGCATGGATCACACACAAAGAACAGGAGGAACTCACCGAGGGGACAGTGCGGCGCAATCGCCACGTCATATGTCTCCGCCATCGTCGCAATGCGCTTTGTTTCTGAGATTCCACCAGCATGCGCGATATCCGGCTGCAGCACATCGACCGACGCATCTTCGAGGAACCGCTTAACATCCCATCTAGTATATAAACGTTCACCAAATGCGATTGGAATAGTCGTGTGTTGAGAAAGCTGCTTGATAGCTTCGGGGTGTTCAACGAGCAAAGGCTCCTCAATAAACAAAGGACGGTAAGGTTCAAGTGCTTTCGCAAGCTGCTTTGCCATGGGGCGATGTAGACGGCCGTGGAAATCAAGGCCAGCATCAAGACCAAGAGCCTTGACCTGTTTGATGCGCTCGATGCAAGAGTCTAGTACAGATGGCGAGTCCAGCCAGTTCATATCCTCTGTAGCATTCATCTTAACGCACTTGAGGCCCTGCGCGATACGGGCCTTGCTGGGTACTGTTAGATGAATGAAAGAGAAGCAGATGGGAAGTGACTTACGCAGCTACTTCAACATCACTTGGCCGGTCACCTCCAATCCAAGCATAAACTTGAACCTTGTTGCGTACCTTGCCGCCGAGAAGCTGGTAGACGGGTACGTTCAACCTCCGACCTTTCAAGTCCCACAACGCGATATCAATGCCCGACAAGGCGGACATGAAAACCGGACCGCCGCGATAGAAGCCAAGTCTCCAAATTGTCTGCCAGACGTGCTCGATGTCACTGCGCCATTAGCACCAAGGCAGCCGGAATTCATGGGAATAGAAAAAACATACTCAGCCTCATAACCAACAATCCTCCCTATAATCTCATCCAACGCACCCTCCACAGCCTGCGTATGCCCCTCAAGTGTAGCCTCACCCCACCCAAATTTATCTTCGCTATCCGTCACCTTGACGAAAAGCCAGCGCGGCTTGACGCGAAAGTACTCGATGGACTTGATGGGAGCCATATTGGTAAATTGAATGAGCAGTGTGCTGCTTGCTTTTGCGATGACGCTGTAGCTACTTGCCAGACATAGTATTTATGTAGCACCCCCACGCCATACAATTCTAGATCTCCAAGGATAACAGCTCCCAGTCCCCCCCATACCCCGCGTGGGGGTAACACAGCAGCTGCAGACCGTGGGGGAGAGGATGAAGCCGGGGATAAGCATTATTGGTGGATCAATCAATGGCGTGCATATCCGAGTCCGGCTGTTAATTGCGCACTGATGCACCGGAAAAGTGGGCGGGTTATCCGAAGGTGGTGCCATGTTTGTCAGGCCATAACGATCTATGGACTTTATATCCAGCAATGATGCTCTTCAGGGGTAATTGTTGAGTTGAAGGACTGAAAGATAAGTTTTGATTTTTGATGTTGCCATGGTTGACTAAGTAGTCTGGATCTGGCTGGTTTGCCCGTAGTATCATGATGGCATCAGTAAGCTGAGGGGAAGTACTCCGTTTTGGGGATTTTTTAGACTCTAGGGAATCCTCCGTGAGTACGTCACGGTTACTTTGGACATGCTTGTAGCTTCGATAACTATCCTACTTCCACCCCCCCTGTTTCCTAACCATCATTCCAAGGTGCATGCAATTGACAACTTGAAATATATCTTTATCACGACAGGAATAGCGAAAATGCCTAAGAAAGCCGTCCCAGAACACCACACCCTCTTCAACGATTCCTCTTCCATCTATGAATCCTCCGGCGACGAACAAAGCGATGGTCTATACGACGATAGCCCGCGCGTAGTTGATGAAGATTTCCACCAATGTTACATCTGCGGCTTCGCTTTCTACTCACAGATATACTCGGATGACCGCTACGTTAACGATGTAAGTGGGCATCGTTACGGAAGTATTAGAGGAGGAATGTACAAAGCCTTCAAGGTTGAGAATATGGATATGTATATACGGGGTTCTTCGTGGTGGTGGATGCCGCGTCGGTTGAGTGAGTTATCCTTCTCTCTCCCCCTTTCTTCCCAACATACGATACAAGTCAACCCACGACTTGTACTCAAAGTGAAGTGAAGGTAAATGAAGTCGGAATGGTCATTGATTATCACTCCGCCGAATTATAGTTCTCCACAGTGTGAAGACTGGTAAATGCCAGATATCAGGTGTCGCGATACCGTTGGAAAATTATGGACCCTTCCATGTCCCATGGAAGAAAGCGGATGGTTTAATTAGTGGACCTAGAGACGACGCTGAGCGCAAAAAGACCATCGAACCAATAATTCCAATAAGAGGTAAAAACAAAAGTCAGATCCTTCAGGACTATGATGATGATGAGGATGAGTATCGAGTGTCCACCGAATGGGTAGGGTATCCTGTCCATGCACGGTGCTGGGAGCTCCTGACGCACCATCAGCTGGGGATAATTGCGGAAAAGAACCTGAAGAATGTTATGCAGGCTATGATACGAAGACACGATCAAAAGATGTGGAAACGCGTGTTTGGACTGCCGGATGAATGGTCAGACGGTAAATGGATACTACTTTCTTGCATAACCCATACATACCACGTATCAGCGGGTCTCTGAGCTCATTGCACATGCATGGAGTTGACTAACGATTGAGCCATGGCTTCCGAAGACCCGGTCCGGACTAAGTGTGTCAAAACGGCACTGGAGCAGACTACTCGACAGCGATCAAGGAACAAAGAGCAGATTTCTCGTCAAAAGGGTTCACCAAGAGTCCGAGAATCTACGCTGTTTCTTCTCCCATGGGAAGTCTTGAATATGGTCTTCGGCTACCTTACTTCTCAGGCAGTGGTCAATGTACAGAGAGCCCTACATCTGCCACTTGACGATGACTTCTGGCGCTCACGAATACCCACTAAGATTTTCCACGAAGTGGAAACAACTGCGCGTGGAATAAATTGGAAGCAATTATGTCTAAAATTGGAAAGACGACTGGAAAGGTCAGAGGCACTAGCTGCACGCCAGCATTTACTGAGTTGTCTAGATGAGATACTTGCATTGTGTGCCTCTAAGTAGCAGATAAGTCTAAGTGGTTACGGAGATGAAGAAAAAAATTAATTTTCATAAGCTGGACTACCTAGCTGCTCGTCTGATCCCTTCAAGAGTGTTATGTATAGCTTGGTGATTGTTGACCACATGCAGCCTGTGACCCATCATCGTCAAGGTATCATTATTCCTATTGTACGTGTAGAATTCAACCGAACTACCAATCGCAACGATTCCCCAGTACCATTTCCGTCTTCTGCCCTGTCTGATTCCGCCGAGATAACCACGTAACTGGTATCTCCCCGTCTGCCACTCTGCTGCTCCGGTATCATACATTCTTGCTTTTGTTTGAGTTATAAGAAAGGGGCGGCAGTCGCTGATAGTATTTCCCAACCATCTAACAGATGTAATATCGGTATACCCACCCATTGAGGCCTGGTACTCTTCCGGTCTATGGGCGTAATCTTGGGTGATAGGAAAATAATGATTCAGGATTGTGAGCCACATGCCGCTAACGTTTCCCGCGGTACTCCCAGGTTGCTGGACTGATAGGTGCTCCTGATCGAAGGAGAGTAGTGTATTATACTATAGAGTATGTTATTAGTGATGTCTTATAATATGCTAAAAAATGAGGGCGGGGGAACCTACCGATTGCATGGTGATAACAACGAGACTATTCCAGCTCTTCTTAACAAGC